GCCTGTAATCTCAGTACTTTGGGAGGCCAAGGCAGGTGGATCACGAGGTCAGGAGTTTGAGACCAGTCTGGCCAACATGGCGAAACCTCGTCTCTACCAAAAATACAAAGAAGTAACCAGGTGTGGTGGTGTGTGCCTGTTGGTCCCAGCTACTGGGGAGGCTGATGCCGGAGAATTGCTTGAACCCAGGAGGTGGAGGTTGCAGTGAGCTGAGATAGGGCCATTGCACGCCAGCCTGGGCAACACAGCAAGACTTTGTCTCAGAGAAAATAAGTAAATAAACTTTATTATGGAAATTTTCAACTGCTTCAAATGTAGGAATAACAGTGTAAGGAACCCAGCTTCCCCACTACGGCACTGCTGTAAGCTTCATGCGTTTATCAGATCTGAATACTGCTGCGGTGTTTGTTTGGAAGGACATTTAGACATCTGTTGATACGAGCCAGGTGCTGTGGTGCATGCCTGTAATCCCAGCTACTCGGGAGGCTGAGGCAGGAGGATGGTTTTAGCCCAGGAGGTCAAGGCTGCAGTGAGCTGTGACCATGCCACTGCACTCCAGCCTGGGTGACACAGCCAAACTCTGTCTCTACCAAAAGAAAAACAAGAAGAAATCCGTTGGTATGAAAATACGAAAATGAAATACCGAATGGGTTGTCCTGGTTTCGGAGGGAGTAAAAAGCCTTGGGTGGCACTTCACTTTTCAGAGCTCAGTCTCCTGCAAGGTTGTGGGGCTCTGCAAGCAGTAGGTGCTCACTAAGTGTTTACTGAATGGATGAGTCAGCACTGGATGCAAGCAGGAGGCTTGTGAGGAGCAGGCCGCTCCCTCGCGGGCCTGGCTTTCCTGAATCCTGCAGACCTAAAGAGGACTCGGCTCCCCTTCCGCCTCTGCAGGTGTGGTTGGCAACGTCACACGTGGTAGGTAATTTGACCAGAAAAAGATCAACTCAGCCAGCATTGTAGAGGGCGCACTGTGCCCTCAGCTCTGGATAGAAAGATGAGGCATAGCCCCTGCCAGGCCCCAGTCCTGGAGAAGTGGGAGGTCTGTGCCCAGCCCCGCAAGCCACACCCATCATTTAAGTCTGCAACGGCTTTTATCTGGGGTTAGATCGCCCTTCACATGGTGGGGGCACCCCCATGAGAATGCCACCCACGCATCTGACCAGCTGGCTACAAACCTGGGAGTTCCCATGACCCTCTCACCTTTGACAGTTTGCTGGACCCACCGCGCCCAGCCTTTTAAAAAATGTTTGATGCTGATGTTAACTTTGAACCCAAAAGTTAGGCATTGATTTGACTCCTTGTTTCTTCAGTTGCCGTATAAAGGATTCGTAAGGTTAGGAGCAAAGTTGTTATTTCCCCTTCCGTCCTACAGGAGGGGGGCACAGGCCCCCGGTCAGCCCTGGAACGCTGGCCTCCTAGGTGGTTGGCACAGCGTCTGGGCAACACTCTCCTTTCCCGCATAGCCGTTGGAGATTCTGGGCCTCAGCACTCCCAGTTGGCAAGGGAAGCAAAGAAAGGCGTGGCTTGCAGTGCAGCCCTTTAAAACAGAAGCTTGCTGAACACATGCAGAGCGTGACCAGGATTCTTAAGGAACTGTGAAGTGAAGAGGCTGCTGCCTTTGGAAGCTGTCAAAGTGCTCTAGGACTCCAGACCTCAGAGAAGCTTCCAGGCTGCTGGGAAGAATCACATGCGTGGCCTAAATGAAAAACAGCCCCCTGGCCAGGCAGCCAGGGCGGGGATGTCAGAGTTCACACACTGTGCGTGTGTGTGCATGTGTGTGTGTGTGCTCATGCCAGTGTGCATGTGGGGGGGGGGTGTGTGCACGCAGAATTGTAATTCTCTTTTCAGGAGACAGGGTCGGTCTCTGTTGCCCAGGCTGGTGTAGTGGCGTGATCCTAGCTCGCTGCAGCCTCAAATTCCTGAGCTCCAGTGAGCCCTCCACCTCAGCCTCCCAAAGTGCTGGGGTTACAGGCATGGGCCAAGGGTGGAATCTTGATGCATGACCTTTCAGAGCTGAGGGCTGAGAACGCTGTGCCCCCCTTCCCATTCCAAGCACACACTCCGAGAACAGTTGTAAAGACTTTGTTTTTCCTGAGACAGGGTCTTGTGATGTCACCCAGGCTGGAGTGCGGTGGCGCGATCACAGCTCACTGCGGCCTCGCCCTCCCAGCCTCAGTGATCCCCCCACCTCGGCCTCCTGAGTAGCTGGGAGTAGAGCTACCTGCCTCCACACCTGGCTAATTAAAAAAAAATTTTTTTAGAGACAAAGAAGATCTCATCATGTTGCCCAGGCTGATTCTGAGCTACTGAGCTCCAGTGATCCTCCCACCTCGGCCTCCCAGAGTGCTGGGATTGCAGGCATGAGCCACCGTGTCCCGCCAGCCATTGGGTTTGAAGCCATTGATCCTAAATCCAGGATAATCTTCTCTTGATCTTTAGCCAAGTTAGATCTGCAGCAACCCCGTTTCCAGTGTCACATTCTGAGGGTCCAGGGGGACTTGTGTTTTCTTTTGGGGGGACTGGGGCACTCCTCCCGCCCTACGCAGGTTAAAGGCACACTCAGCAGCCCTGTGGCCCCTTCCCTGAGGTCCACGCCCTAACCTGCCCCCTCAAGGTCAGTGCTGCCCAGTGGAACGTTCTGTGGACTGGACACCCTCCATCCCTGCCTCGTCCAGGGCAGCCCCTCACCGTGCTTGACTGCTGGACACCTGGAATGTGGCTAATGCCACTGAGGGGCTGGACTTTGGAAAATGGGAATGCTCTCGTCCTGGAAGGCGCTGGCGTGGGCTTCCCCCTCCTGTGGAGGAAAGGAAGAGGGAGCGGAAAGTGCTGGGAGGAGGGTCTGCACACTGCTCCGGGCTTCCCACCTCCAGCCCCCACCCTGGGCACCCCAGTGTCCCCTGGGAGATGAGCACCCTCACAGAAGCCCAGGCCTGGGTCGCTTTGCACAGCGCCCAACCCCTGCGCCGGCCGTGGAACATGGGCCGAGGAACCCTTCCTGCACTGAGCAGAGCCCTTTGAAGGGATGAGCCCGGGGTGCTCAGTGCCATCAAGGCTGCGTGTGCCCTCTCCCTGTCCGTTACCCCTCCTGGGCCTGCGCCACGGGGGTTGAAGTTCATGGTGTGGTGGCATGAGCCTCTAATCCCAGCGACTCGAGCCTGCAGGTCAAGGCTGCAGTGAGCTGTGATCGTGCCACTGCATTCCAGCTTGGTGACATCGCAAGACGCTCTCAAGAAGAAAAAAGTCTTTACAAGTCTTCTCAGAGTATGTCCCTGGAACGAGCCCAAGGCCAGAGGAGCTGCTCCTATATGCAGGCGGCTGCCCACCGACCGGCCTGGGGGCACTGTGGATGGGGCGGGGGCAGTGGCTTTCCCTGCAGAGGTGGGGTTTATCGGGAAGCAGTGTACAGTCAGGGAAGCCAGGGAACATTCCAGGTGGAAGCCCAGGCAGGAGGGTGCTCTCGCACAATTGAAGGAAAGAGGCTATACCAGGTCCCCGGGGGGAGGGGGGCAGACATGGGAGGCCTCGTGGACCAGCAGTGGAGAGATCTCCATGTTCCACTCCTCATGACTACCCGATGTGGAGCTGGGCTCCCTCTGCACTGTGCCCCGTTTTTACCCTTGGCAGGTGTCGCGTGCAGGCTGTTCTTACCTGTGTCTTGGTGTGTTTAATTGTAATAAGGAAACTGTGGGTGCTGGGAAACGGGGCGGCCCTTCTGTTCTGTGTCTCTGAGCTGTGGCTGTGGAATGAGAAACTGCTGAGAATCCAGAGTGGAGGGAGCGGGGACACGGGCGGTGACATTAGACTGCGCCTGAGTCGCTGCTGGAGCCTTCCAAAGGGTGTCCTGCGCGCAGGGGCCCCTCTGTCTCAGGGCCCTGGGCAGAGACAGGAGGAAGGTCTGAACCATGGGGTCTCCAGCCTTCTCTTCTGGCCACTCGTGGGGTGGGGCAGGCCGGGGTGGGGAGCTGGGAGAGGAGGGGCGACAGTGGCTGCAGGCAGGGAGGGTGGTCCGAGGGTCCTCTCCTTCAGGAGTCTGTTCTGTCTTTTTTTTTTTTTTTTTTTTTTTTTGAGACAGAGTTTCGCTCGTTACCCAGCAGGCTGGCGTGCAATGGCGCGATCTCGGCTCACCGCAACCTCCGCCTCCTGGGCTCAGGCAATTCTCCTGCCTCAGCCTCCTGAGTAGCTGGGATTACAGGCACGCACCACCATGCCCAGCTGATTTTTTGTATTTTTAGTAGAGACGGGGTTTCACCATGTTGACCAGGATGGTCTCGATCTCTCGACCTCATGATCCACCTGCCTCGGCCTCCCAAAGTGCTGGGATTACAGGCTTGAGCCACCGCGCCCAGCCTGTTCTGTCTTTTTATCTCACTAAGCTCCTGGCCTGGAGCCTGGGTTCTGGGGACAGAGATGAGCAGACCCAGTCCCAGCTCTCAAGGGGGACCCCTCCCCACAGCTGTCTATGTGGGGTGGGCACAGATGTGTCTAAAGACCATTGCAGTACAGGGTGGGCCGGGCCATGACGGAGGGCGGGGCTGAGCACCTACGCTCCTGACGGGGCTCCTGTACCCCAAGATGTGGCCATGCCCGGGAGCCACTGCCCCCCAGGCCACGCTGGCCCCCACCTTGGCCCAGAGTCCTGGGTAGGGGTTGGAGGAGGTGGCAGAGTGGCCACACCCTGGCTTTGAAGTCAGCTGTGTCTCGATTCAAGCCCTTGGTGCTGCCTGCCGGCTGGCTTTGCACTGGTGACTTGACCCTGCTGGGGCCTCGGTTTTCTCTCTGTAGAGTGGGGGGGATTATTTCCAGTGCATGGCTGGTCAGGAAGACGAACTTGGGCCACGTGCATAAAGCCACGGGTGGTGGATGCTCAGGTGGCTGCTGCCTGTGCCCGCCCCCCGCCGCCTCGGGCTGGGCTGGCCCGGGAGGCCGCGTCTTGCTGAGTGCCTGAGGGTTTTCTAGGAGAAGGTGGTACAGAGGCTCACCTGTGTCTGCTCCTCCAGGGGACGACCGCTGTGGAAGGCGTATTGTCACGTTCAGCTGCTGCCGGATGCCGCCTTCCCACGAGCTGGACCACCAGCGGCTGCTGGAGTGAGTGCCCTCCCTTTCTGCCCGTCTCTCCGTGTTCCTTGTCCCCATCCCTTCACGCCACCTCCCTCTGAGTCACCTGCTCTGTTCTGGGGCCTCCTTTGTGACTTGCTGGTGTGCGGAGCTCCCGTGCTCATGAGCCTACCCGAGGGCCGGCTGTGGCCCCCCTGGGTCCCTGGCTTCCGGGCACCGTTCCTTAGCACAGTGGGAGCTGCGTTTGGCGTCCTTTCAGCCACCTGAGCTGTGGGTGCCTCCCTCTGGAGCTGGGGACAGTCCCCTGGTCCTGTGTGCAGGCCAACCTTGCAGATGAGATGGCTGCAGAGGGTCAGGCCTCCCCCACGTGCTGTCCCTTTGAGACCTCCTGGGCCTCTCTCCGGGAACATCTTCGGAGCTGTGTGAGTTTCCTGGAGCTGCCGTACCAAATGACCACACGCCTGGCAGCTGAAAATGCTCTGAGCGGATCCTCCCTGGTTCTGGGGGGCACCAGTCCCCAAGGTCAGGCCAGCGGCAGGGCTGCACTCCCCCTGGAGGCTGCAGGGGTCCCCAGGTGACTTGTGGCCACGTCGTTCCTGTCCTTGCCCGCATCTCCACGTGCCCATTTCCCTCCCTCATAAGGTCACCAGCCGCTGGCCTAGGCCCGCTCTGATCCCATCACACCTCATCTGAACCGATTGCACCAGTGAACACCCTGTTTCTGAGTAAGGTCACGCTCGGAGGTTCTGGGTGGAACCTTTGGGGGTGCCGTTCCAACCCAGCACCGAAGACGAGGGCCTGCTGCCACCGCCGCCACAGCCGTCATTGGCTCAGCAGGCATCTATTGAGCACCTACTGTATGTGAGGCATTGGCTAGTCACTGTCTCAGGGCCCACGTGTGAACTGAGGAGATCGCCCCTCAGTCCGTGGTTGGGGGCGGGAGAGGCAAGGCCAGGAAATGGCTCTGAGACAGAAGGTGGCAGGACATGGCAGACGCCGAAGCGGGGGGCGCCTGGACCCCTGCACCTGTGTGCTCCCAGCGCTGCCCAGGTGTGCCTGGGCTCCACGGCTGGGACGGGCTGGGGACTGTGGAAGATCGAGGTTGGTGATTTGCCACGTCAGCAAGCGTCAAGAGCGTTGAAAAGGGGAAGCCTCCGGCAGCTCCCAAACCAGCCTGGCCAAGGAACTGTTTGCCACGTCGAGCAGAGCCCTTGGAAGGGATGAGCACAGCGGCCCCCAAAGCCACCAAGGCTGCGTGTGACCTCTCCCTGTCCAGAGCGGTCCTGGGCCTTCACCTCTGTCCCCCCAGCCTTTGTATGCAGCACCCCAAACACCCTCCCTTGTGCATGACCCCTTGTGTGCTCAGACCGCTCCTGTGCCAATCCCCTGCTGTGGCTGTCGTCCTCCACCCCCCACCGCTATGCAGACATCCCCTCCCATGCACACAGCCCCTACCATGTACACACCTCCTCCCATGCACACACCCCCCTCATTCACACACCTCCCTCATTCACACCCCCCTCCCATGCACACACCCCCCTCATTCACACACCTCCCTCATTCACACCCCCCTCCCATGCACACGGCCCCTCCCGTGCACACACCCCTCTCCCATGCACACAGCCCCTCCCTTGCATACACCTCCCTCCCATGCACACACTCCCTTCTGTGCACACACTCCCCGTGCACACCCCCCCTCCCGTACACACACACCCTCCCTTGCACACACTCCCTTCTGTGCAAACACCCCCTCCCATACATGCACCCCCTCCCGTGCAAACACACCCTCCCTTGCACACACTCCCTTTGTGCACACGACCCCTCTCTCGTGCACATGCCCCCTTGTGCACACACTCCCTCTTGTGCACACACCCCTTCCCTTGCACAGTCTCTACCATGCACACACCCCCCTCATGCACACAGCCCCTCCCATGCACACACACCCCTCCCATGCACACAGCCCCTCCCTTGCATACACCCCCTCCCATGCACACACCCCCCTCCCGTGCACACACTCCCTTCTGTGCACACACTCCCCGTGCACACACCCCCTCCCGTACACACACCACCTCCCTTGCACACACCCTTCTGTGCACACGACCCCTCTCGTGCACATGCCCCCTCGTGCACACACTCCCTCCTGTGCACACATCCCCTCCCTTGCACACTCCCTCCTGTGCACACGCCCCCTCGTGCACACACGCCCCCTCGTGCACACACGCCCCCTCGTGCACACACTCCCTCCTGTGCACACACCCCCTCCCTTGCACACACTCCCCGTGCACACACCCCCTCCCTTGCACACACCCCCTTCTGTGCACACGCCCCCTCTCTCGTGCACATGCCCCCTCGTGCACACCCTTCTCCATCACTAAGTCGTATGCTCAGCACAGACTGGGTGTTCCGGGTGGAGAGCCAACCTAAAGTAGATGGACTCATGGCTCCTCAGATGGCTGTCACATGACCCCCAGGCCGCCAGACCCACCTGCAGGACTGAGCCTTCTCCAGCCCAGGGTGGCTTTGGGTCCACAGTCTTAAGCTCTGGCCTGGCCTCGGGCCCTCTGAGGTCTGCCCACTTCCTTCCTTCCCTCCAGCACCCTCCTCAAAGCCACGGGAGCCTCCCGCCTGCACCTTCTGCCCTGGCTTTCCCAGTGTTCCGTAGGAAGCACCGGCCCCTCACCTGCGTACAGCCTTGGGCATCCTGCACCCTCTCCGTCTGTCCCTGTTGCTGGCCACATTGCCTTCCTAGGGTGGCCACTGAGCCTTCTTCCTGGTGAAACCCCTGGGCCCAAGCGAGCCGCTGCTGGGGGAGAGTTGCAGAAATGGGAAGAGCAGCGCCTCTGCCGGAATCCCTGTCCGGGTTAGTGAGAGTCCCCAGGCCCAGGGGAGCAGCTCCGCGTCAGGGAAGGGAAGTTCGGCGCTGTGGGCCTTGGCATCTGCTCTCCGACAGTGAACCGGTTGGGCTTCATTCCTGAGGCCAAGTCCTGGCCGATTCCCTGGAAATGTTTATGTGCCCTTGTGAGGTGGTACCTGGCCTGCCGAGGACTCCCTCACTGCTGGGGACAGCTCAGGACATGACCCTGGTGGGGAGGCTGTGCCCACCGCCACTTCCAGATGCTAGCATCTAACTGTTAAAGCCAAGGGGCGCAGGGAGGAGGCTTTGACCTGGAACCCCCAACTCCAGATGCACAAAGGCACGGCCGGATCATAGCAGCACCCAGAAGACTTTGGGCCGGTTGCTGCTTGAGATTTCTCCCCATATGAGCATTCCATCTGGTTTGTTCAAGAATCTTCCGACCACAGCTGAAACGGCCGTGGCAAAGGCAGAGACCTCTGGGGAGCAGGTGCCAGGAGCGACGTCCGCCAGGGCTGCTGCTGCACGGTGAGGCCGGCGGGATTCGTGGGGTAACCTGGGATCCTGGTGCAGGTACCCCAGACGATGAGGCTGGCCTTCCCCGGGGCTGCTCACCCCAGTGACGAGCAGATGCCAGCCTGCAGCCCACCTTGGTGTTTACCAGGCACACAGGGAGGGACGGATGCCAGATCCAGAAAGAGCTGTCCTCTTGAGAGCAGAGGTGCTCTGCGAGCTTCTCGGCCTTGATGAGAAGAGCTGTCAGGCCTAGCCTTCCCTGCAGCCTTAATGAACACCCACGCGTGATCCTCCCTGTCCATTCCAACTGGATGGCTTTCCTGTGGCCAGACGCGTGCTCCTATTTTTGAAGTGGGTGAAGAAACAAGTCCATGTCTTTGAAGCCCGACTGGTAATTTAGTTAATGACGTCCTGTGCTGAGCACACAGACAGATGCGTTGACACCCGGAGGATTTCAGTGCGTCAAACGGAAGCCACCCCAGGGGAGCCCAGCACCAGGGCCAGAGGAAAGGTGCCTGCTTTTACGAGGAGGTGTCCAGCGTGGGAAGATGAGCCATGCAAAGACACTGGCCTCAGTTTTCCTTTCTTGAAAAAGAGTCTTGCTGGGCGCGGTGGCGCAAGCCTGTAATCCCGGCACTTTGGGAGGCCGAGGCGGGTGAATCACGAGGTCAAGAGATCGAGACCATCCTGGTCAACATGCTGAAACCCCGTCTCTACTAAAAATACAAAAAAAAAAAAAAAAAATTAGCTGGGCATGGTGGCGCGTGCCTGTAATCCCAGATAGGAGGCTGAGGCAGGAGAATTGCCTGAACCCAGGAGGCGGAGGTTGCGGTGAGCCGAGATCGCACCATTGCACTCCAGCCTGGGTAACAAGAGCGAAACTCCGTCTCAAAAAAAAAAAAAAAAGAAAAAGAGTCTTTTGTGAAATGCAAACATGACTATCCTGAGAAGCGATGAGGCGTTCTCTGTGGTTCAAGGACCCTTCCACCCTCTGTGTTCAGGTGGAAGTCTTGACCTGGGCTCTTCTGAGAGAGCGAGTCAATGAAGGGTGACCTTGGTGAAGTGTGCCCCAGTGGCTTAGCCCACGTGGCGCTCAAGACGATACGCTGGAGCAGCAGCGTCGAAGTGACTTCCACAGCGGGTGAGCTGAAATCATGCATGTGTGACGTCAGATGTGTGTGATTTCTCTACATCAAAGCAGATGATGGGATCGGAGCAGGCGTGAGTGACAGCTCACAGCTCTCAGAGACAAGGCAGCATAGACGCTGGAGCCAGGCGGCTTGGTTTGAAGCCCAGCTCTGCTCCTTGCTGATTCACCTCTGTGAGCCTCAGTTGACTTGTCTATAAAGTGGAGCTAATAGTACCTGCCTCATAGGGTCATTGGGAAAATCAAATGTGTAGAAGGCGTGCAGTTCACATGGTTCAGGGTTTTGACAGAGCGCACTCTGACGTTGCTTAGAAATGAAACGCACAAAGGAGAAGCTGGCATCCTTGGTCTCTAGGCTTCCGGGCAGTGTAAGACCAGCCAACCGTCTGCAGGTGGGCACGGGCTGCTGGGCTTTCAAGGTGGTTCTGGGAGCATCTGTCTGCAGAACACCCCTCCTACAGGCTCAGAGAGTGGGGCCACCGGGGTGGATTCATCACTGGATGAGCTCCAGGTGAGAACGTGGACAACCTGAGAGGGACCGTCGCCTGACCGGCTCCATGTCGGGCCCTGCCGCGTGCTGATGGGGAGGTTGGGGGGTCCTGCAGCCCTTCCTCCTGCAGATGGCAAGGCCAGCCCTTTCCCGCAGGTGACTTTAAGACAGTGCTTCCTAGGTGTTGGGGGCAGGATGGAAAGTGGTCCATGGGAAACGAGTGAGCCTACACCAGGTGTCCCCAAACTACGGCCCACGGGCCGCATGCGGCCCCCTGAGGCCATTTATCCGGCCCCCCGCCGCACTTCAGGAAGGGGCACCTCTTTCATTGGTGGTCAGTGAGAGGAGCGCAGTATGTGGCGGCCCTCCAACGGTCTGAGGGACAGCGAACTGGCCCCCTGTGTAAAAAGTTTGGGGACGCCTGACCTACACCACAGGGGGTGGCAGCTGACAGACAGCATCAAGACTCTGCCTCTAAAAGCAAAATGTTGGGAAGCTCATCTGGAAAGAAGCAATTGCTTGCCCTAGAAATGCAGCGAACAGCAGGGAATCTGCGGCGGAAGGGCCTGTGGTGTTGGGGTTAATGGCGAGGGTTGAGAGGTCAAGCATTCCTGGGTTCGAATCCCAGCTCATCCTCCCTGTGAGTTTCCTGGGGCTGACGTAACCACGACCACAGATGTGGTGATGTAAAACCAGAAATGTATTCTCTCACAGTTCCGGAGGCCAGAAGGTCAAAATCAAGGTGTGGGCTGGGCCACGCTCCCTGCAGAGAGGATCCTTTCCTTTCATGTCCAGCCCGTAAAGGCTGTTGGCAGGCCTCGGCCTTCCGTGGCTGGTGGCTGCGTCACACTCTGCTCTGCCTCTGTCTTCCCGTGACCTCCCCTCTGACTTGTCATCTTTGTGTCCGCTTTATGAGAACACATGTGGTTGCACTGAAGGTCCACCTGGGTAGTCCAGGATGAATGAGCTCCTCCTCTCAAGGGCCTGTATGTGATTGCACCTGCAAAGACCTTTTTCCCGGATGTTGGTAGCGGATGCTTGATGTGCAAAGAAAAATGAGCACTGAGACAAAGGATCCTTCAGCAATGCAGCTTTTACCTCCTGGACTGCAGGAAGGGGACTTCCCGTAGCCATCGTGCCACAAGAGTACAGAGAACAAAGGGAAACGCACACACTTATCCCTTACGCATTTGGGGTCATCCTCACTGCTGTGTCTGATCTCTGTTGGCTGGAGCCAGACCTCACAATCTAAGCCAAAACCCGATTGCCTGACAACTTAAAACTTCTCTAAACAGGTAAAAGCAGTGGAGAGCTGGGACATGCCTGTGAGCACGTCCAGCTCAGATATCTTGGGTAAAGTATGAGGACATAGAACATACCACGTGCCTGTAACCATGGCATTTTTCCTACAGCTACGTAGGATAGGGCTTAACAGTTATTAGCACACTTATTCTTTAACAAGAAAGGAAACTTTAGAAAGGAACTTTTCTCCTTCCCACACCAGATAAGGTCATATTCTCGGGTTCCACAGATTTGATACGGGTGCCTTTCCACAGCGCACCTTTTGGCCTGCCACATCCACTTACTAGCCGTGTGACCTCAGGTAAGTCACTTAACCCCTCTGAGCCTCCGATGCCATCCGGTAAATGCAGACCAGGGCCCGTGACGCATGGAGTCTCCCTGTGGCCTGGCGCTGACACCCGCTGGGTGACCACAGCTTCCTTTAGAGAGAAAGCACGTTTGGTTTCAATAGTGAGCAGTTGATTTTCGTAACTGAATCTTACGTGTTGTGCCCAGGTATCTGAAGTACATGCTGGACCAGTATGTGGAGAATGATTATACCATCATCTATTTCCACTACGGGCTGAACAGCCGGAACAAGCCGTCCCTGGGCTGGCTCCAGAGCGCATACAAGGAGTTCGACAGGAAGTGAGTGCCCGCAAGCCTCCAGGGACGTGGGTGTGGGCTGCATGTGGCGGGAGGAGGCGTGTGGCCACAAGGGGTCACCGAGTGTGCCGTGGGGGAGGGGTGTGGCAGGGTGGAGGGTGAGCAAACGTGGGGCAGTTGGGTTCACTTTCCTTCTGGACCAGTCTGGAATCCCAGGCAGGGGTTGACATTCTTGTTCTCTCCTTTGTTTTTTTTTTTTGTTTTTTTTTTTTGTTTTTTTTTTTTTTTGAGACGGAGTTTCGCTCTTGTTACCCAGGCTGGAGTGCAATGGCGCGATCTCGGCTCACCACAACCTCTGCCTCCTGGGTTCAGGCAATTCTCCTGCCTCAGCCTCCTGAGTAGCTGGGATTACAGGCACGCGCCACCATGCCCAGCTAATTTTTTTGTATTTTTAGTAGAGACGGGGTTTCACCATGTTGACTAGGATGGTCTCGATCTCTCGACCTCATGATCCACCCGCCTCGGCCTCCCAAAGTGCTGGGATTACAGGCTTGAGCCACTGCGCCCGGCCACCATCATTATTTTAAAGATCAAATTGTCCCAGACATGCCCGTGCAGGGGCCCTGTGAGCACTGCTGGCTCCGTCTGGCTCCTCATCACTCTTTGAACGCTTCCTCTACTTTCCGGCACAGGGCGCGTTTTCTTGCTCCCGCCGAGGAATTGGCCCCTCTCCCAGGGGCACAGTAGCCCTGGCTCCCTGTCGTGGAGAATGCTGGTGGAGGCCAAGATCTGGACAGGGGGAGTGCTTGTTGCTTTTGGGGTGTTACGGCTCCTAGCCCCTTTCAGTGGAGAGTTAGGGTGTGTGTGTATATGTACACATACTTACACTTACACCAACACACACCGACACGTACATACGCTTACACACCCCCCTACATATACATACACTTACCTACCCCTACATACACACACACCTGCACACACATATACACACATAGCACTCATACGCCTACACACACTTACATACACCGACACACACCGACACGTACATACGCTTACACACACCCCTACATACACATACACTTACCTACCCCTACATACACATATACCTGCACACTCACACACGGATGCACATACCACTTACATACAAATACACCTACATACACTTACATGCACACACACATGCATACACATGGCACTTACACTGACACACCTATGAACACATACCTACATACACACACCTACATATACTTACACCTACACACACATACACCACACACACACCCCCCTACATATACTACACACACCTACATACACCGACAGTCATACACATACACCTGTATACACACACACCCCTACACACATGTACATTTACATATGCCCACGTATGCATACACACATATCTACATACACCTACATAAACACACATACACCTACACACCTATGAACACATACATACACACACACACACTGACACCTACATATACTTACACCTACACACACCTACACACACCACACACATACACCTACATATACTACACACACCTACATCCACCGACACACAGTCATACACATACACCTGTATATACACACACCCCTACACACATGTACATTTACATACACCCACGTATGCATACACACACATCTACATACACCAACACACACATACATGCATACACCTGCACACACACATACGTCACCATCAGGATTTATGTTTATATCCGCCCGCACGATTGGGAATCATGCATTCACACCAGTACCCACACCACAGGGCTCGCTCCTGGCAGGGTGGCTGGTACCATTTTCACATTTCCGTGGCGTAAATCCTGCCGTCCTAGCCGGTTTCAAGCTACCAATGTGACGTCCCTGAACACAGGGCTGGGAAGAGATGGGTGGGCAGCCGCGTCGTACAGACGTGCAGGTACAGAAAACCTCAGAGCGTATAGTCACAGGTAGCAGAAGAATTAGGAAACGGTAGTTTTGAATTTTTAGTGACTTTGTGTTTAATATCACTTACTTCATTGTAAGTTTCCAGTACTTCGTATTTAACAACGGCTCTTCTCCACACCTGGCTTCCAAAAATCCCTGACATTTTGACAATCAGCGTGTGTGTGCCTAAGAGCTGGCTTTGGCGGCCTGCGGCTGACCCCACAGGGGCCATGTGGATGCCCCTTCCCCGCTCCTGGGCTGTGTCTCCCCAGCAGGACACACCGTCCCCCGCCCGCCCTCTGGAGCCCCGGCATGTCAGCTGCCCCTGTCCCCACCCCACCCGCTGCCCACCTTTCTTGCCCAACCTGATGGCTTTGGACTGAAAGATTCAAGAAGGAAGCATGGAGACTGGGAGGGAGGGAGAGACGGACGCTAACGTGGTGTTCCGTTGTGTGTGAGGCTGTAATTCATTGAACCGGCCTCTGGCCGGCTGATGTTTCGGTGATTGCCGGGTGTTTTGCCGTCATAACCAACACGGTGAGCTCCTTCCGGCCCGGGTCAGCTTCTGGCAGGGGAGGCACGGCCTGAGAGGCTCTGGTGTTTTAATCCTGAGAGCTGTTGCCGAATTGCCCGTAGGTTGCGCTCCAGACCCCCACCCCACCTATAAACAGGGCTCCGACCGGCGCGTGCCTCTGCGAACTGTGAAGTGCTGCAGGCGCGCCTGGCGGGCGCGGGGGCTCCGGATTTCCCCCGAGTTTATTTCCTCCTTTGCCGGATGTCCCTAAGTCGGTCCTGTTGAGAGAAGTGACATGCTGAGACTCACAGCGGAGGCCGCTGCTTTGTGGTGATGGGGCTTGGGGTGTCTCTCGGGGCCTGGCAGCCTGAAGTCGCCCCCATTTCCCTCCTCAGATACAAGAAGAACCTGAAGGCCCTCTACGTGGTGCACCCCACCAGCTTCATCAAGGTCCTGTGGAGCCTCTTCAAGCCCCTCATCAGGTACGCGTTGCTCTGGGAGAGGACCCTGCTGGGGTTGGAGGTTTCCCGCCTCGGTGTCTACGAGGTGGCCTTCCCTATCCATGCACCACAGAGGGCCCGTCTCCAGGGTGCCCGGGGGTCTTCGGTGGCTCACAGGGCCAGCCCAGGTCATGGACAGGAGTTCTGGCCTGTGACTCCTGTGGGGTTTGCACCTGGTATTTAAAATCCCCCCTTGGCCTGAACCCCCACACTGTGGAACCACCCTCAGGTTCAGTGAGTTCCTTTTTTCCTTGAGACTGACTCTTGTTGCCCAGGTTGGAGTGCAGTGGCTAGATCTTGGCTCACTGCCACCTCTGCCTCCCAGGTTGAAGCGATTCTCGTGCCTCAGCCTCCCAAGTAGCTGGGATTATAGGCACCCGCCACCACGCCTGGCTAATTTTTGGGGTTTTTTTGTAGAAACAGGGTGTCACCATCTTGGCTAGGCTGCTCTCGAACTCCTGACTTCGTGATCCGTCTGCTTCAGCCTCCCAGAGTGCTGGGATTACAGGCGTGAGCCACCGCGCCTGGTCAGGTTCAGTGATTTTCTGGAGGGACTCTGTTACCTTCACTCTCGTGGTCTGTCACGGGGCACAGATTTAAGTCCGCAAAGGTGAAAGGCGCACGGGGCTGAGGCCAGGAGGACCAAGCACACGCTCCCAGCTGCCCTCTCCGGGCGGGTTCGTGCAGATTCATACAGACCACACTCGATTCTCCCAGCAAGAGCGTGTCATGGAGGAGGGAGCCTGGCTGGCCTGGGCAGCTCACCCAGCCTTGGTGCCCAGGGTGTTTGCTACGTGTCTATCATGCAGACGTGGTGCACCCACCTGGCCGACCTCAGCCCCTCGGTCTCCAGCCCCTCCTGAGATGAGAACACAGCCCAAGGCCCCCACCCCAATCACATTGTTGGCGCGAGCTCTGTGGTGTTGGCCCAAGGCCACCGGTGTGCAAAGACCTCACCAGGCAGACACTTGCAGGGGCTGAGAGCTGTCCACCCCGGAGCAGGTCGCCCAAGGCCAGGCTTCTCTGTGGAGCGTGCAGGGCTCGGACACCCCCAGCCTGCTGAGTGAAGCCTTTAGTGCACGGCAACCCTCATGAGCCGCCGAAAGAGAGGCAGCCGCAGCCTGTGCAGGTGGCGACCTCGGTCAGCTTCGCCCAGATTTAGACTCATTCCCGCTGAATGATTTCTGCCTCAGTACTGGGAAGCAAGAGCTCAAGGGGCTGGTGAGGACTGGGAGGCTCTGCCTGGGTCATGTGGGCATCTTCTTTCTTCCATTTTGGCTGTATACATCAGGCACAAACTGTGTGCACGGAGCCCCATGACGGGGGTAGCATGGGGAAGAGACCGACAGATACGGTTCCTGCATACTGGCCCCGGCCCGGCCCGGGTGAGTTCTGCAGGTGAGGGAGGGGCTCGGTGCAGGGGAGCCCAGGTGTGCACAAGGCGGGTCAGGATACTCAGGTGAGGTCGTTGCCTCTGTGAGAGGTGGGAGGACTCCTGGAGGGCCTCCCTAGGAAGAAGCATTTGGTGGATGGATCACAAGGTCAGGAGTTCGAGACCAGCCTGGCCAACATGGTGAAACCCCATCTCTACTAAAAATAGAAAAATTATTGGGCCATGGTGGTGTGCGCCTGTAGTCCCAGCTCCTCGGGAGGCTGAGGCAGGAGACTTGCTTGAACCTGGGAAGTGGAGGTTGCAGTGAGCTGAGGTCACGCCACTGCACTCCAGCCTGGGCGACAGTGTGAGACTAAGTCTCAAAAAAAAAAAATTAAAAATTAGCCAGATGTGGTAGCACGTGAGCACATCCCTGGAAGGATCGTCATTCTTCCCCAGATGTTCCAATCTCTCTCTTTTTTTTTTTTTTTGAGATGGAGTCTCACTCACTCTGTGGCCCAGTCTGGAGGGCAGTGGCATGATCTCGGCTCACTGCAGCTTGCGTTTCCCAGGTTCAAGTGATTCTTCTGCCTCAGCCTTCCAAGTAGCTGTGGCTCCAGGTGCGTGCCACCATGCCCAGCTAATTTTTTTATGTACTTCTAGTAGAGACGATGTTGGCCAGGCTGGTCTCGAACTCCTGACCTTGTGATCCACCCGCCTCAGCCTCCCAAAGTGCTGGGATGACAGGGGTGACCCACCGTGCCCGGCCCGATGTTCCAATCTCACAGGCCTTTGCCATCCGCCCCCTTAGCTCGTTCCACCTGCTGAAGCCCCCCCACGTGTCTCTGAGGCTGCTGCTGGCAAGGGTCTCTTCCTTATCCCCCGCAGCCTCCGTGCACTTGGGTGTGATGCTCCCTGCACAGGAAGGACTCGGCCAGAGCTGGAATGCCAGCTGGGACCTCAGAGTCCACACTGTCTCCTTCCCATGTCCCCATCGATCCCTGAGAAGCATTTCGGTCCCCCGGGAGCACGGACAGCTCGGGCTGTAAGGCACCGGCCTGTCTCCCCACCAGCCCACTCTTGTCCCGGTGTCCCTTTGTCTCTTACCGTGCCTGACACTTGGAGGAACGTTGGCAAGCGCTGGTTCTTGGGGCACGTCGGGAGCTACTTTGCAGCCAGGCGCAGTAGCTCATGCCAGTAATCCCGACACTTTGCGGGGCCGAGGCAGGAGGGTCACTTGAGCCCAGGAATTTGACCTCAGCAAGAAAGTGAGCCCCGCCTCTATAAAAAATCTAAAAACGGCCGGGCGCGGTGGCTCAAGCCTGTAATCCCAGCACTTTGGGAGGCCGAGGTGGGTGGATCATAAGGTCAAGAGATCGAGACCATCCTGGTCAACATGGTGAAACCCCGTCTCTACTAAAAATACAAAAAAGTAGCTGGGCATGGTGGCGCGTGCCTGTAATCCCAGCTACTCAGGAGGCTGAGGCAGGAGAATTGCCTGAACCCAGGAGGCGGAGGTTGCGGTGAGCCGAGATCGCGCCATTGCACTCCAGCCTGGGTAACAAGAGCGAAACTCCGTCTCAAAAAAAAAAAAAAAAAAAAAAAATTCTAAAAACAGGCCAGGGGCAGTGGCTCACGCCTGTAATCCCAACATTCTGGGAGGCTGAGGGGGGTGGATCATGAGGTCAGGAGTTCGAGACCAGCCTGGCCAACATGGTGAAACCCCGTCTCTACTAAAAATAGAAAAAGTTAGCCGGCTATGGTGGTGCGCGCCGGTGATCCCAGCTACTCAGGAGGCTGAAGCAGGAGAATCGCTTGAACCTGGGAGGCGGAGGTTGCAGTGAACCGAGGTCACGCCATGGCACTCCAGCCTGGGCCACAGTGTGAGACTAAGTCTCAAAAAAAAATTTTTTTTTAGTTAGCCAGATGTGGTAGCATGTGCCTGTGGTTCCAGCTACCTGGGAGGCTGAAGCAGGAGGATTGCTTGGGCCCAGGAGTTCAAGGCTGCAGTGAGCCCTGTTTATGCTGTTGCATTTCAGCCTGGACAACAGAGCAAGACCCTGTCTCAAAACAAAAAGAGAAACCTGTCATGCCAGACAGCTCGGAGCCTTCTTTTCCCACCAGTGCTCACGCTGTCATTCCAGGGACTGAACGGTGTGGCCCTGAGACGCACTGGAGAATTCCCATAGCAGCAGACTCAAGTCAGCTCCTGGCTATATAGGGAGAGTTTTGTGGTCAGAGAGCTCCTTTCATGTCACTAGAATTTCCCGCCAGCTTTTCTCATCTGCTGCCTGTGCTGCACGTATCCCCCACCGGAAGGTGAGATTTGGTTTGTGCTGGCTTGTTTGTTGTAGACAGACTCTCACTGTCTTGCCCAGGCTGGAGTGCAATGGCGTGATCGCGGCTCACTGCAGCCTCTCCCTCCCGGGTCCCAGCAGTTCTCCTGCCTCAGCCTCCCGAGTAGCTGGGACTACAGGCATGCGCCATCACGGCCGGCAAACTTTTGTATTTTTTAGGAGAAGTGAGGTCTCATCATACTGGACAGGCTGGTCTCGAACTCTGACCTCGTGATCCTGACCACCTGCCTCGGCCTCCCGAAATACTGGGATTACAGGCGTGAGCCACCGCGCCCAGCCTTGCTTGTGTTTAACCAGGCCCAGCATCCTGGCTTCCTATGTGACATGTGACATATTTGACATAGCAAAAAAAGCTAGTCTCGTCACTTACCTTAGAAAAGTCCTCAGAGGGCCAGGCATGGTGGCTCACTCCTGTCTTCCCAACACTTTGGGAGGCCGAGGCAGGTGGGTCACTGGAGCCCAGGAGTTCAAGACCTGCCTGGGTAACATGGCAGAACCCCATCTGTACAAAACATACAAAGATCAGCCGGGCGTGGGGGCACACAGTTTAGTCCCAGCTACTCAGGCAGCAAGAGCAAGACTCTTGTCTCAAAAAAGAAGGAAAAAAAAAAAAGTTTGCCTGCTCCTGCTGTTTCCGCGTGGCAGCTGGACAGCGTGGTGATGGTGCCAGGCTGCCTGGGCTCGGCTTCTCTGCCCCTGGCCATCCATTACTCTCAGCAAGAGGGGCAACCCCTCGCTGCCTCAGTTTCCCCATGTGGCTGACAAGGCTGCTTAAGTCATCCCATTGTCACAATAATTCACTGACTTGATAACCCGTAAAGTGTGTATCTTCCTTTCTTCCTTTTCTCTGTTTCCCAGGCTGGATTTCGGTGGCTCACTGCAGCCTTAACCTCCTGGGCTCAAGCGATCCTCCCCCCTCAGCCTCTCACATAGCCGGGATTACAGGTGTGCACCACTGTGCCCGGCTCATTTAAAACAATTATTTGTTGAGACAGGGTCTCCCTGTGTTGCCCAGGCTGGTCTGGAACTCCTGGCCTCAAGTGATCCTCCTTTCTCAGCCTCCTAAAGTGTTGGGATTATAGGATTGAGCCACCAATCAGCTCCATGTTGGCTGTTTGGATAGGGCCTGCCAGGCACTAGCCGATACTCCGTGTTGGCTGCTAGGAGTACCGTGTTTTTGTGTCTGTGGTTTTTGGTTTTGTTTCATTGCTTTGAGACAGGGTCTCAGTCTGTTGCCCAGGCTGGAATGTAGCGGCACGATGACAGCTCACTGCAGCCTCGATGTCTTGGGCTCAGGTGATCCTCCCACCTCAGCCTCCTGAGCAGCCGGGACTACAGGCACGCCGCCACGCCCAGCTAAATTTTGTATTTTTAGTAGAGACAGGGTTTTGCTCTGTCACCCAAGCTCGTCTCGAATTCTAAGCTCAAGCGATCCTCCAGCCTCGGCCTCCCAAAGTGCCGGGATTACAGGCGTGAGCCACCACGCCGGGCCCTGTTTTAAAATCTTTTTAAACTGGCCAGGCACAGTGGCCCATGCCTGAAACCCCAGCACTTTGGGAGGCTGAGGTGGGCGGATCACCTGAGGTCAGGAGTTGAAGACCAGCCTGGCAAAACCCCGTCTCTATTAAAAATACAAAAAATTTAGCTGGGCGTGGTAGTGGGCACCCATAATCCCAGCTACTCGGGAGGCTGAGGCAGGAGAATCGCTTGAACCTGGGAGGCAGACGTTGCAGTGAGCCGAGATGGCGCCATTGCATTCCAGCCTGGCGACAAGAGCGAAATTCTGCCTCAAAAAAAAAAAAATCATTTTAAACTCCCCTTTTGTGATTAATCTGATTCCAATATTGTATGCACCTCATGTATGCTTATGTGCCAGACACCGCAAAACTGCGCTGTGAAGTCAGCCACATTTTCCCCGTTTCAAAGAAGGGAAGGTTGATGCTCAGAGAGGTTACACCTGGGGTCGCTCGAGGAGGGGGACGTGGCTGGGACCCTCCAGCCTGAGCCTGTGTGGTTCTGCCCCTTATCCTGCCTCGTTCCTGCCGGGAGAGAACCACAGGCACCGGGCTGGGGCTCTGGAGCCGGGACTAGACTCCGCTGCCTGTTGTCTGTGAGGTCGTGGGCAGCCACATAACCTCTCTGTGCCCCAAGACCTCATTTGGAGGAGCTCTGAGGCTCTCAAATGCCCACACACAGGAGGGCCTTGGGTCTCACCCAGCCCTCCTGGCTCAGCTGTGCCTGTGGCTGCAGCTCTAACAGGAACCCCAGTGATTCCACCGCACGCACGCTGTGTTGGGAGCACCTGACTGAGCTGGCCTGGGCATCCTTTCCCGGAGCCAGAGGCCAGTGGCAGGGTCCTGTCTGCGCCTGCCCCCAGAGTCCGCGTTTGGCAGAGCCTGGCCTGCAGGAGGGGTCGGGGAGACTGAAGAGAGGAAGGTGAGGGGCTGGCACGGGAGGGCTCCCTGCAGCTCTGAAGCTGGCACCTCTGTCCCAGAGAATGTCCCACGAATGGTTCCTGCAGAGGGGCAAGACTCGCTGTGCCCTTAGCGGGTTCCTCCCATCTGTCACGCAGCCCTGGGGAGACCCTCCGGCATCCTCCCGGCAGAGGACAGACTGTCCCCCAGTCCTGTGGAGTCGGTGGGCAGGCGGTGAGGACACTCCCGCAGGGGCTGGAACTAAGGCCCCACTTTCCTCCCTCTCCTCGTCCTTGGGGTGACGGGCACACCGCACTTGGGTGGCTATTCTGCAGCCCCAGGCTTCGGCCCGGGTTCCTTGGCTTCCTACCTGCCAGCGTCCTTAAACGCAGAAACCTGGCAAAAGTCCCCTTCGCCCCGCGGGTGACCGAGGGGTACCGGCACCTGGGTTCGAGTTTCCCTCGCCCACTAGGGAGAGCCAGTGTGTGCACAGCTCAGCCTCCCTTGGGTCTCCTTTAGGACCCACCTGGCGTTGGCGCTGGGCTGAGCCCTGGGCGGCAGCTGTCCCTCCTACCTGCCTTGATCTCCGGGTTGGTTTTTGTTTGTTTGTTTTTTTTGAGACAGAGTCACTCTGTTGCCCAGGCTGGAGTGTAGCGGTGTGATCTTGGCCAACTGCAACCCCTGCCTCCCGGGTTCAAGCGATCCTCCTGCCTCAGCCTCCTGAGTAGCTGGGATTACAGGCACGCGCCACCACGTCCAGCTAATTTTTGTATTTTTAGTAGAAATGGAGTTTCACCGTGTTGGTCGGGCTGGTCTTGAACTCCTGACCTCGTGATCCTTCCGCCTCAGCCTCCCAAAGTGCTGGGATTACAGGCGTGAGCCACCACATCCAGCCTACGATCTCCGTATTTTTTGTTTTGCAATGGTAACTTGAATTATTTCTATTTGACAAACTAAACAACAATGAAAATACGTGAATACTTATTTCAAGGCTTTCAAATTGTCGTAAAAATAACAAAATATCTTCAGTTTGGCAGAATACATAACTTCCCTTTTCCGGTAACGATACAATTCTTTACCCACATTAATAGTTGTATATCTTGGCCGGGTGCGGCGGTGGATCACAAGGTCAGGAGTTCAAGAGCAGCCTGGCCAACATGGCAAAACCTCATCTCTACTAACAATTCAAAACTTAGCCGGGCGTGGCGGCCTGCGCCTATACTCCCAGCTACTTGGGAGGCTGAGGCAGGAGAATCGCTTAAACCTGGGAGGCAGAGGTTGCAGTGAGCCGAGATGGTGCCACTGCACTCCAGCCTGGGCGACAGAGTGAGACTCCATCTTGGGGGAAAAAAAAGGTTGTGTCTTAAAGATAGACAATAAGGAAATAATACTGTCCTACAAACTGAAACTTGAATGACACATTGATGGCAGAAACCGCACCTAGACTGTCGTAACGTGAGGCTTGCAGGCTCCTGTGTCAAGGCGCGCTCACGTCCTGTCGGTGGTCCCCACGTTGCAGTTCACGCGGAGCCTTGCCGCTGTTCGGAGTCATCACGGCGAGCGTGTCCACTGGGCGTCGGCGGTGGGCCAGGTGTGGACATAGCCTTGCGTTGTCTTCCGCCCTCAGCTTCGGGGGGACAACCCCGCTTTCAGATCCAGGCCCTGAGAAGGAGTGAATTCTCGGGCACGGAGTGGCTGCGCCTGGCCAGCGCGTGTCTGGCCTTGCGGCTGCGCTGTTCTCTGGGGTCTCGGAGACTCTATCCTGCAGACAAACGTGGAGGCCCTTGTCGGTCCCTGTCCTTAGAAGAGGTGGCCAAACGTGAGGCCACCACTGACCCCAAGACCACCAGCAGCTGGGGCTCCCCTGGGGCAGGCCCCACCCTGAGAGCTGCTCTCTGTGCCAGTGGCCTCCTGCCCCCCGCACCCCTCCAGCCTGCATCCCCCGCAAGGATTCTTGGCACGTCCACACTGTCTCCTATGTCTGTGCAGATTCAGGGTGGATTGAAATTGGAGGCAGATCCTGATCTGTATGCAGGGGAGCCTCTCCAGAGCGTTTGGTGCATTGGCGAGCTCGTGAAAGCAAAATACCTCCCGGTGTGCGCTGCTCCTGTGACGTTCGGGTTTTAAGTGGCGTCAGCGTTGATTTTCTTCATATGAAAAATGCTCCCCCCGTGCAGCCCCCGGCCTCTCCGCCGGCGCCTAATCGGTTTTTATTCTGTTGCTTCTGCTTTCTTAGTCACAAGTTTGGGAAAAAAGTCACCTATGTCAACAGCCTGAGTGAGCTCCGTGAACACCTGAAATGCGAGCAGCTGACCGTCCCCCCCGAAGTGCTGCGGTGAGTGCCGGTGAGACCCCAGAGGCCGCGTAAATCCGTCTTTGTGCTTCCAAGGGTCTCGGTTCAATCCCGCGAACGCTGAGGGCTTCATTTCCAAAGGCGCGCTGGGCTGGGCTGGGCTCGGAAATCTGCGGCCTCTGCAGAGACGCGGCTGGAGGTGCTAACTGCTGACTCAGGCGACGTGGCAGAGGCCGTGCGGGACGGGATGTGTCGCTGCAGAACGGATTTAAAACATGAGCCCTGTGTGGCAGCGGCCGCGTGTTGCCTTGGGGTTTACCATTTTTCCTTTTGAGCAGAAAATGAGGGGAATTTCCCAGGCGTGTGAATGACGCTGCGTACAGAATACAATGTTCTCGGGGACGTGACAGGGGCGCTCGAAAGGGACCTGTGTGCTGGATGCTGGAAGCCTGATTGGTCTGTCTGCTACGAGGCTTAAATGTAGGACCAGATGAGTAGAGGCTGCCCGGGAAGGTGCGTGCCACGCAGCCGGTGCAGCGTGGGGCCAGACCCAGCCCGGGTCCCTGGACGCCCAGCCTGGCTTCCCTCTGCCCCTGGTGTCTCCCTCTCTGAGGGGCTCCTTTGAAGGAGTACGTCCTTGCCAAAGCACATGCAGGTGAGGCTGGTTGCCTTGCAGCGGTAGTGGAGATAAAAGCCAAGTCCCATGCCAGGCGCTGGGTTGTAGAGATGTCTAGGAAGCGTGGTCCCTGCCCTCAGGACACTCTCAAGCTAGTAAGGACCGCAAATCAGTGACGGCAGGGGCCAGAGGAAGCACTGAACCCAGCTGGGGAAGGGACTGGTGTGTGTGAGAGGGGGAATCCAGGAAGACTTTCAGGTGGAGGTGGCTTTTTTTTTTTTGAGATGGAGTTTTGCTCTTGTTGCCCAGTCTGGAGTGCAATAGTACAATCTCAGCTCGCTGCAGCCTCCGCCTCCCAGGTTCAAGTGATTCTGCTGCCTTAGCCTCCCGAGTAGCTGGGACTACAGGCATGTGCCACCACGCCTGGCTAATTTTTGTATTTTTAATAGAGACAGGGTTTCTCCATGTTGGCCAGGCTGGTCTCAAACTCCCAACCTCAGGCGATGCACCCACCTCAGCCTCTCAAAGTGCTGGGATTACAGGCATGAGCCACCGCGCCTGACCCAGAGGTGGCTTTTTTTATTTTCTCCCCCAGAGAAAGAGTCTGGCTCTGTTGCCCAGACTAGAGTGCAGTGGTGCAATCTCGGCTCACCACAACCTCCACCTCCCGGGTTCTAGCAGCTCTCCTGCCTCAGCCTCCCAAGTAGCTGGGACTACAGGCGCACACTTCTACGCCTGGCTGATTTTTTTGTATTTTAGTAGAGATGGGTATTCACTGTGTTGCCCAGGCTGGTCTCGAACTCCTGAGCTCAGGTGATCTACCTGCCTTGGCCTCCCAATGTGCTGGGATTACAAGCGTGAGCCACCACGCCCAGCTCAAAAGTGGCTCTTAGAGTTTCAGAGGGACAGTTGGGTAGCTTAAGAGGCCAGGAAGCCCATTTCCAGCGGAGGGAAGCCCTCCTGCAAACATGTGGGTGAGGTATTGGGAGATTTGGAGGCAGCCGGAAGACCCACATGATCAAGCCAGAGTTGCTGGGCTGGGAGCCCTTGGTGCCAAGCAGAGGAGAGTGAACTGGACCCGGAGCTCATGGGAGGATGATGGGAATCCCTGCTCTGCCATGGGCCTTGGCGAGACCCGACTCCCAGACCTCACTAGAGTGACTTGGGGGAGTCATGGACACGGCTCGGATGTATTGTTAGCTCTGTGGTGGAAGTGATTTGTCTGGTGACAAAGGGTAACTTCACGTCCTCCTGCGTGGCAGAGCGATTGGGGATAAGGTGGATGGCATCTGTGAAACACCCAGCTCTGGCTTCTCAGGGGCTACTAGGTGCCGTCTGGGGCCTCTGGAATGTGCAGGTGGCTGGCATCACTGAGGGTGCAGGGTCCTGTGGGTCAGAGGGGGACAGTGTTTGGGAGAGGGGTGTGGGCTTGAGTATTAGGAGCTCCTGAACTTACTCAGTGGGCAGCCAGCACCCTATTCCATAGCCATGAAGCAGAACCCCAGAGGACGTGTCCAATCCTGATGCTTTTAACTGAGCATTTACTAGGCTGGGGCAGGGGTCCAAGGCTGGGTTTTTTTTTTTTTCTTTTTTCTTTTTTTTCAAGACAGGGTTTCACCATGTTGGCCAGGCTGGTCTTGAACTCCTGACCTCGGGTGATCCGCCCGCCTCGGCCTCCCAAAGTGCTGAGATTACAGGCATGAGCCACCGCGCCCCGCCCTAAGTCTGGATTTTATCCACCCCCACACACTCCCTGGTGGTGCTGTGAGATCCGGAAGCTGAGACCCATTGGCTTAGCAGCAGGGCAGGGCCTTGGGGTCCTGAATCCTGGCTGTCGTCCCAGCTTGTGGCCTAGGGCATGTCACCAGACCTGGACAAGCCTCAGTTTCCCGATTTGTAAAGTAGACAAAATACCTCTCCACGGTGGGCCCTTCGGGAGGGACAGAGACATCTCTTGGGAGCCACCTGGGGCGCAGAGCACTGCGATGAACTCACAAAGTACAGCTGTCCGTGGGAGCGGCTCCCACCTGCTTGGCTGGCCAGGCTCAGCCCAGCACCGCCTTCTCCACAGACCTTCCCTGACTCCGTTTCCCTGCCTGAAGTGTTGGGGGTGCCTCTGGGTCATGTGCTTGCACTGTCTTGACTCCTGAGGTGCTGAGTAATGCTCGTGTGCTCCCCATCCTGTGGCCGGGCCATTGCCGTATGCACAGTGCCCAGCACATAGTAGGACCTCAATACATGCTTGCCTGTGTTAAGGAAAGACTGTTACCTGCTGCTGTTTGTTTGTTTGTTTGTTTTTGAGACGTGGCCTCAGTCTGTTGCCCAGACTGGAGTGCAGTGGCGTGATCTCGGCTCACTGCAACCTCAGCCTTCTGGGTTCCAGTGATTCTCCCACCTCAGCCTCCCGAGTAGCTGGGATTACAGGCGTGCACCACCTCTCCCAGCTAATTTTTGTGTATTTGGTAGAGACAGGGTTTTACCATGTGTCTAGGCTGCTCTTGAACTCCTAACCTCAAGTGATCTACTTGTCTTGGCCTCCCAAAGTGCTAGGATTACAGGCATGAGCCACTGTGCTCAGCAGAGAAGCTCCTTTTACCCAAAAGCTTTAACCGCCTCCTTCACAGTTATCCATCCTCTTCCTGTGTTCATTCATGAGTTTCTTCATTCATTCAATAAATATTTTAATTGAGCATTTAATATGCAGTAAGCCCCTTCCAGGCACTGGAGATAAAGTAATTAACAAAAGGGGCAACGTCCCATTAGCATTGGGAGCCAGCTCTTGTCTTAAATTCAGACTCTGGAGAGCTGAGGGTGGTCACGCCCACCTCAGGACAGACCGCCTGGCAAGCAGGTGAGGCCGCTCTGCTGGTGGGGGCAGGGCCGCTGGCCAGGGGTTGAAGGAGGGACTGGACATTTGCTGGGGGTTGGACGACTGCGTCTAGTGAGAATGCCCACAGGAATGGGGGATGGTGACCTGTGTGCGTGTGTGTGTGAGCTGGTGGTGTGGCACGTGTGCCCAGAGGGATGCGACACCCAGGTGTCCTGCAGATGTGTGGGGCATCCAGCCCCACCCAGCGCCTCCGTGGCTGCCAGCTGCCCTGCCAGGTGAGAGCCCAGCCTCTGTGGTGTGTGCAGGTACGACGAGAAGCTCCAGCGTCTGCACGAGGGCCGGCCGCCACCTTCCGCCAAGACCCCGCCGCCGCGGCCCCCGCTGCCCACCCAGCAGTTTGGCGTCAGTCTGCAATAGTAAGTGAGCCGGGGACGTGTCTGCTCCTCCGCCCGGGGCCCTGGCAGCTATGGGCGCTTCCGGGTCTAGAGACATTTTCCCCAGACCTTTGCTTCCAGCAGCCGAGCTTAACCCTGTGGGAAAGATGAAGCCTGAGCCCCCCACTGAGGCCGCACGCTCGCTGCTCCGTGCCTGCTGGGGACGGCCAGGAGTGGGTAGCAGAGGGGGATCCCTGAGTTTCCCGCCCCAGCCTCCGTCACTGCTGCTCTCTGTGCTCCAGGTACACAGGGCACCTCCCGCCACCTCAGGGAGGCCGTGGTCATGGGATGTGCTTAGGTGCGGGTGCGGGTGTGGGTGTGTCGTGCTGGGACAAAGCTTCCCGAGCCAGCGGGCAGCGGCCTCTCGTGGTGATGTACAGGCCGCGGTCAGGTGGAGATGGTGCCTCGTCACTCTGCGTCCCTGATCCCCACATCACTGTGTGCTCTGCTAACACCCAGGCTGGACACGGGCATCGTGAAGACAGGCTTGTGTTGGGTCCAGCCGCTGAGATGTGGCGTCACTGTCACCGCAGCATGACCTGTCCTTTATCAGCCACGTGGCCTTTGTTGGAAACAGATGCTCGGTGCCGCAAAGAAAAATCAGCACTGAGACAAAGGATCTTTCAGCAACGCAATTTTTACTTCTAGCCACTGACCCAGGAGAGTGCAATGAACAAATGAAAACACACACATTTATCCCCTACGCATTTGGGGTCGTCCTCACTGCTGTGTCTGCTCTCCGCTGGCTGGAGCCAGACCTCACAATCTAAACTAAAACCCGATTGCCTGACAACTTAGAACTTTTCTAAACAGGTAAAAGCAGTGGAGAGCTGGGACATGCCTGTGAGCACGTCCAGCACAGAGATCTTGGGTAAAGTACAAGGACACAGAATGTACCACGTGCCTGGAAGCATGGCGTGTCCAACAGCTCCAGAGGATAGAGCTTCACAAAATTATTAGCACATTTATTCTCTAACAAGAAAGGAAACTTTAAAGGAACTTTCCTGCTTCCCACAGCCTTGAACTCACCTCTTCTCTCAGCTCTTTTCCTTTTTTTTTTTTTTTTTTTTTGAGACAGTCTCACTCTGTTGCCAGGCGCCAGGCTGGAGTACAGTGGCTCGATCTCAGCTCACTGCAACCTCTACCTCCCAGGTTCAAGCAATTCTCCTGCCTTAGCCTCCCAAGTAGCTGAGACTACAGACGTGTGCCACCACGCCCAGCTAATTTTTGTATTTTAGTAGAGACGGGGTTTCACTATGTTGGTCGGGATGGTCTCGATCTCTTGACCTCGTGATCCGCCCACCTCGGCCTCCCAGAGTGCTGGGATTACAGGCATGAGGCAGTGCGCCCGGCCAGCTTGTTTCCTTATTTCTGTTATACGGTCTTTTTGGGGGGATGGCGGGGACAGGATCTTGCTCTGCTGCCCAGGCTGGAGTACAGTAGCCCCGTCTCAGCTCACTGCAGACTCTGCTTTCTGGGTTCAAGCAATTCTCCTGCCTCAGCCTCCCGAGTGGCTGGGACTACAGGCACACCACCATGCCGGGCTAATTTTTTTGTATTTTCAGTAGAGACAGGGTTTGGCCATGTTGCCCGTCTGGTCTCAGACTCCTGACCTCAAGCAATCCACCCACCTCAGCCTCCCAAAGAGCTGGGATTACAGGCCCCCACCATTATGCTCAGCTAATTTTCGTATTTTTAGTAGAGATGGGGTTTCACCATGTTGGCCAGGCTGCTCTCGAAATCCTGCCCTCAAGTGATCCACTTTCCTTGGCCTCCCAAAGTGTTGGGATTACAGGCGTGAGCCACCGTGCCCGGCCTGTGATTTGGTTTCTTTAAAGTCTGATGATTCTTAAGGCCCAGGCTGGAGTGCAGTGGTAAGATCTCAGCTCACCACAACCTCTCTCTCCCAGGTTCAGGCAATTCTTCTGCCTCAGCCTCCCGGTTAGCTGGGATTACAGGTGCCCACCATGATGCCCAGTTAATTTTCATATTTTCATAGAGATGGGGTTTCACCATGTTGGCCAGGCTGGTCTCGAAATCCTGACCTCAAATGATCTGGCCCCCTCGGCCACCCAGGGTAGATTTTGCAACATTTTGAAAGGTTTTGAGAACGGAGGCGGCTCTGGCAGCATCTGGGGAGCGGGTCCACTGTGTACCTGCCCTTCCTGAGCCACGTGGGCAAAGCCATTCCTGGGGTTCGAGGAAAGTGGATTCGGCCCTGGGGACCTGCCTGTTTCTTGGCCAGGAGTGGTGGAGCTCAGGGAAGGCAGGGTGGGAGGCAGAATCACGCCCTCATTCTCAGAACCCGTAATTAGGTCACCTTGCGCAGCAAAACAGACTTTGCAGAAATGATTAAGTGAAGGATCTTGGGATGGGGGATTGTCCTGGCTTCTCTGGTGGACCCAAAGCAGTCGCCAGCGTCTTTGCACGCGGGAGGCAGGACGGTCAGCGTCGGAGAGGAGCTGTGGCCGCGGAAGCAGAGGCCGGAGGGGTGCGGGGCCGGAAGCCAAGGGAAGCCGGCACTCCTGGGAACTGAAAAAGGCAGGAGTGGGTCCTCCCAGAGCCTCCAGGTGGAACAGTCGGCTCAGCCCCTTCTCGACTCCTGACACCTCCGGATGTAAGATAACACATTTGGGGGCTGGTTTTTGTTGTTGTTGTTGTTTGAGACGGAGTGTCACTCTGTCACCCAGGCTGGAGTGTAGTGATGTGAGCTCAGCTCTCTGCAACCTCTGCCCCCGGTTTCAAGCAGTTCTCCTGCCTCAGCCTCCTGAGTAGCTGGGACTACAGGCGCACGCCACCGCCCCCGGCTAAGTTTTGTCGGGAGGCCGAGGCAGGAGAATTGCTTGAACCCAGGAGGCGGGAGGCTGTAGTGAGCTGAGATCGCACCACTGCACTCCAGCCTGGGTAACAAGGGGAAACTGTCTCAAAAAAAAACAAAAACAAACACACACACACACACACACACACACACACACACACACACACACACAAAACGAGCACAGCTCACAGACTTCCAAAGCCGTCGACCTGAGTGAAGTGTGGGCAGACTGCTGCCCAGGGGTGTGTAGGCCTCTCGGCTCCTGGACAGCCGTCAGGGACGCCGTTAGCCCTGCGTTCCGAGCAGGTACCTTTCAGAACACGCTGACGCAGGGCTGTTGGCTCTGTCACCTTGCCACAGTCCATCCCTATCCAGGGCCAGTTGTACCTGTAAAATTCCAGTCCTTAGCTGCTTTTGGGACAGTGCCACACCGGCCCACCTTTGAACAACCCTCTGCACACGCCGCATAGGGAGAGTATGCATGCAGTTGGTTCTTCACATTAATATTTTAGGTTGTTTCATTGCCAGTGATTGTAATAAAATGGCAATAAACATTTTAAAGGAAGCACTAGATAGGTAATTTGTTTGGACTGTGAATGAATGAAAGTCATGAAAATTCATAACTGAATCCTATTCACAAATGTTAATTTGCCGAGTTAACTTCAGAGGCATACAGCAGAAAGCTTATCACCTTAGAATTCGCTAGTTAATACAGTAAAGGGAAGTCAACGTTTCAAGAGGCCTTTGCTTGCCATCCCTGAAGAGGAAAAATGGAAACAGGAGGGCCATGTGGGCAGCTGGGGGGCAGGGGCGGGTACAGGGAAGAGACTGATGTGTCCTTAGGGCGGGGTGGGGCAGGACATTGCTGAGCTCTGGCATTTTCTCTTTTGGCTCGCTGCAACCTCTGCCTCCCTGCTTCATGTGATTCTCCTGCCTCAGCCTCCCGAGTAGCTGTAATTACAGGCTCACGCCACCACACCCAGCTAATTTTTATCTTTTGAGTAGAGACGGGGTTTCACCATGTTGGCCAGGATGGTCTTGAGCTCCTGACCTCACGATCCACCTGCCCCGGCCTCCCGAAGTGCTGGGATGACACGCGTGAGCCACCACGCCCGGCCTCGGCATTTTCTTTCTTTTCTTTTTTCTTTTCTCTCTTCTTTTCTTTTGAATCAGAGTCTTGCTCTGTTGTTCAGTCTGGAACTGCAACCTCTGCCTCCCAGGTTCAAGCAATTCTCCTGCCTCAGCCTCTCGAGTAGCTGGGACTGCCGGGGCACGCCACCATACCTGGCTACCTGGCTGATTTCTTCTGTATTTTAGTAGACACAGAGTTTCACCGTGTTGCCCAGGCTGGTTTTGAACTCCTGAGCTCAGGCAATCCACCCAACTCGGCCTCGCAAAGTGCTGTGATTACAGGCATGAGCCACCAAGCCCGGCTTTTTTTTTTTTTGAGACAGTCCTGCTCTGTCGCCCAGGCTGGAGCGTAGCGCGCTATCTCGGCTCACTGCAACCTCTGCCTCCCAAAGCACTGGGATTACAGGCGTGAGCCACCGTATCTATTTTTTTCTTTTGTCACTTGTGCTTTTCGTTTTTATCTAAGAAACCATTGCCAAATCCAAGGTGATGACGTGCCTATGCTTTTTTCCCAAGACTTTTACAACTGAGCTGTTAGATTTGGATCTTTGATCTATTTTGAGTAGATTTTTATATATGTTGTGAGGCAAGGTCTGATTTATTGCAGCAGCATTTGTTGAAAAGGCTTTTCTTGGCCAGGCGTGGTGGCTCACACCTGTAATCCCAGCACTTTGGGAGGCTGAGGCAGGTAGATCAGGTAGATCACCTGAGGTCAGGAGTTTCAGACCAGCCTGGCCAACGTGGTGAAACCTCATCTCTATTGAAAACAAAAAAATCAGCCAGGCATAGCGGTGCACACCTGTAATCCCAGCTACTCCGGAGGCTGAGGCAGGAGACTCTCCTGAACCTTGAGGGGCGGAGGTAGCAGTGAGCTGAGATCGCTCTACTGCACGCGAGCCTGGGGCAACAAAGTGAGACTCCATCTCAAAAAAAAAAAAAAGAAATGATAGCTGATTTCTCTGCAAAAAACTTTTAAAAGTAAATGCCCAGTAAAAACTGTTTCAGATAAACCAAAAAAGCTGAATGTGTTTTCGGCAGAACTAAACTAGACAGAATGTGAAGAGAAGAGCGGCAGAAGAAGAGAGCACCAGATGGAAATGGGGGCCCTTACAAAGGAGTGACGTGTGCTGCAAATGGCATGTGTCAACAGGAAATCAATGATTTTCCCATTTTAAGAACATCTTGAAAAGTGAATTGACTGTTTAAACAAACATAATAAAGTACTATGAGGCTCAACACGTGTTAGAACAATGGATCATGTATTAAGAAGACGGGCCAGGCACAGTGGCCTATAATCCCAGCACTTTGGGAAGCCAAGGCAGGTGGATCACTTGAGCTCAGGAGTTCAAGACTAGTCTAGGCAACATGACAAAACGCAGTCACTACAAAAAATTCAAAAAACTAGCTGGCAGGGCATGGTGGCATATGCCTGTAGTCCCAGCTACTTGGGAGGCTGAGGTGAAAGGATTGCTTGAGCCCAGGAGGTCAAGGCAGCAGCCAGCCAGGATCACAGGGCAAGACCCTGTCTCCAGAAAAAAAAACACACACACACACAAAAAGAAGGCAGAGGATGGGATGGGAGACTTACGCTGTAAGTAGAGTGGTGTAATAGCGTCTGAAAATTGAAAATAGACTGTATTATATTAAATATGTAAAACCAGGCTCACCACAAATAATACATATATATAATTTACATATATAATATATAAAACGTATGTATCATATATATAGATATTTCTATATCTATATATATATATTTTTTTTGAGTTGAAGTCTCACCACTGTCCCCCAGGCTGGAGTTCAGTGGTGCAATCTCGGCGCTCTGCAATCTCTGCCTCCCAGTTCAAGTGATTCTCCTGCCTCAGCCTCCAGAGTAGCTAGGATTACAGTTGTGTGCCACCACACTTGGCTAATTTTTGTGTGTTTATTAGAGATGGGGTTTCACCATGTTGTCCAGGCTGGTCTCAAACTCCTGACCTTGTGATCCACCTGCCTCGGCCTCCCGAAATGCTGGGATTACAGGTGTGAGCCGCCGCGCCTGGCCACATCTAATATATTAATAGATGTGGGATCTCTATTAATCCCACCGTGCCCACCTAATTTTTGTATTTTTAATAGAGACGGGGTTTTGCCGTGTCGGCCAGCCTAGTCTTGAACTCCTGGGCTCAAGTGATCTGCTCACCTTGGCCTCCCAAAGTGCTGGGACTACAGGCGTGAGCCACCACACCTGGCCAAAATGTCTTTATGTGAATCTCTGTCTCAAAATAGCCCAGTAAGAGACAGGATAACCCAGATGACATGCTGGGCTTTTGTCAGCAATGTTTGTTAACTGGATCGGCATCCAGTCCAGGGCTTCAGGTTCTGCCGTCACAGCCAAGCCATCTCATAGCTCTGAGACTTCCAGGTATGTCTTCCCTGTCTAGAATGCCCTTCTTTCTTATGTCCTCTGGCAGGCTCCTACGCATCCCTCAAAACCCCGCTCTGAAGTTGCATCCTGGGGAACTCCTCCCCAACCCCCAGGTCTTTCCTGTCTCATAAATATCCCTCTCATGGGGTTCTCAAACACTGCACTATCATTTTATCAATGGCCCCAGACATTCTGCTTCCTGAGGGCTGAGCCTGCCTCTCCCTGGACAGTGCTTGGCCCTGTGTCTTCGCAGGGGTGTGCAGAGGGCCAGCAGCCCTGCACGTGGTGATCACCCATCAAGCTCAGGTACAAACTGTCCCTTTCTGTTCCCTTTTCTCAGCCTCAAAGACAAAAACCAAGGCGAACTCATCCCCCCCGTGCTGAGGTTCACAGTGACGTACCTGAGAGAGAAAGGTGAGGCTGGGCCGGCTCCGGCTGGGCGACGTGAGGGCTGCTGGGTGCACCTCCCTGGGTGGGTTGTCTTGGATCCTGAGCACCCCACAGGCCAGGAAGGGAGGGCACAGTGGCTGCAGGTCTGGGATCTGGCTTCGGATGGTCCGGGTTTGAATCCTGTCTCCCCTGTTGACTAGCTGTGTGACCTGGGGCCCGTTACACACCCTCTCTGGGCCTCCATTCCCTCATCTGTCCTGTGGGGTTAATAACAAACAGTATGTGACTCGTAGGATTGTCACGACCCCTAAATGAGATGTTGCCTGCAAAACACTTCAGACAGTGCCAGCCTGTAGGAAGCCCTCTTGAAATGGGGGCTCCTCTGACGGGATCAACTTTGATTTGCCTGCAACATTGCCGGTGGGGCGGGTGCAGCCAGGATCTTGGAATGGGGTGAGCCTTGTGGGCTCCCCACAGCTCCTGAGGCTAGAACTGAGGTCCGTGGAGGTCGTGTTTACCCTAGTTGGGGGAAAGAGGCTCCCATGGAGGAGCAGGCACCAGGGAGGCTCACCTGGGACCTCCGGTGCAGGCTCACCTGGGCGGGGTGCTCTCCAGCCTGGGTGCTGCAGCGCGGATGTGGGGGTGTCAGCCAAGAAGTGAGAGTCACTGCTGCCAGGGCCGTGGTGGTCTGTCCCTGTGTGCCCCAGAGATGGCACGTTCTGATCACAGAATGTTCTATGAGACGCGGCTGCTGTAGCTGAGGGACTGTCATTTCGAGCTGTCTCTACTTTGACCAGATGTCACGGTAGCATTTTCCATTCTGTCGTGCTTATGAGAGGTGTGCATACAGACTAAAAATCAGAAGCTGCAACAGGGAGTCTGTCTCTCCCTCTTTAAAAACGTATCAGTTCCTTTGTTGTCGTTATTATTGAGATATCACTCTGTCACCCAGGCTGGAGTGCGATGGCTTGGTCCCCACTCACTGCAACCCCCGCCTCCCAGGTTCAGGCGATTGTCCTGCCTCAGCCTCCTGAGTAGCTGGCATTACAGGCATGCCCCACCAAGCCCAGCTATTTTTTTTTTTTTTTTTTTTTGTATTTTCTAGTAGAGATGCGGTTTTACCATGTTGGCCAGGCTGGTTTTGAACTCCTGACCTCAGGTGATTGGCCCACCTCAGCCTCCCATAGTGCTGGGATTACAGGCGTGAGTCATCAGGCCCAACCCACACAACACGAGTTTATTATCTCCATTTCTGTGGATCAGAAGTCTGGGCACATGGGGGCTGGGTTCTCTGCTCAGGGTCTCACACGCTGAACTCCAGGTGCTGACCGGACTGGGCTTCCTCCTGGTGGCTGGAGGTACCGGGGAAGAGTCCACGTCCAAGTTCGTTCAGATCCTTGGCCTGGTCTTGTTCTTGGCAGTTGGCATTGTGAGGTGCCCACTTCCTTGCCTGTCAGCCCGGGGCCTGGCTTAGCGGCGACCGCCCCTGCTTTCCCTGCCAGGCCCGGCCCCTCTTCCCGCAGACCACAGCTCGCGTGAATCCCCTCCCCGGGCTGGGTTCTCTGTCATTGAAAGAACCTGGGTCCTTTTAAAACTCACCTGTTGGAGGCTGGAGGGGAGTCAGCCCTGCCTGGGTGGTGGGGATTCGGCGGGGGCAGACCCCTGGCTGGAGAAGCCACAGGGTGAAAGTCGGGCGCCTGCGAGATCATCTCTGTATCTTAAGGCCGACTGGCTTGGCGCCTTGGCTGCAGGACTAGCTTGTTTGACTGACCACCTGGGAACCCGCACGTACATGTTCTCTAGGGGCCAGGAGGCCAGGGGCCATCTCAGAATTCTGCCCACGGCAGTCACTCAGCAGAAAGGAGAGGGACCAGCCACCGGGCCAGGTCCGGGCCAGGAAGGCACATGGAGTCACTGGGCCCTGGACGATGGGAGCAGAGAGGTGGTGGGGGAAGTGAGAGGGGGCGGCCAGATGGTGCAAGGCTGTGGTGACAATGAAGGGAAGCACTATTGTTTCTTTCTTTCCTTTTCTGTTTCATAAAGCACATTCCCATGAAGCTCTGTACTGTGACAGGTGGCAGACACTGAAGGGCTCGATGCAGGGTGTGGCTGCTCAGAGATCGGAGTTCCCTGAGCTTCAGAAAGGAGAAGAGGCTTCGGGAGGGGTCTGAGGACGGGGAAAGATGACAGTGGCTTCCCCGGGGAGAGTGAAACCGTTTGACAGGCGCCATTGCCTTCTTCACCCTCGAGAGCGGGCCCACTCCGCCCTCAGCCTGCAGCGGACGGGCACGTGTTGAGACCTACTAAGTGCAGGCCCTGGGAGGAGATCCAAAGTCCGATTCAGGGCACTCGGCGTTTCCTTTAGTAAACCTTGTAGGGAGCGATCACCTTTTCTTCCTGTCCCAGGTGGCCAAGGCCAGGCCTCAGGAAGTGCGGGAGTCCCTTTCCCAGCCGCTGTCCCAGCCCTGAGGCTTGGCCTGGCCCCTCCTGGGTCTTCCCCCTCCCCGGCCTGTGTGCCTTTACCCTGTGGTTTCTCCAGCCAGGGTTTTGCACCCACCCCCCATCCCTAGCACCCAGGCAGGGCTGGCTCCCCTCCAGCCTCTAGAGCTCAGCTCAATGGTTGCTTCCTCAGGGAATCTCCCCAACGTGGCCAAACCCCCAATGCAGACCGCAGCTCCTCCACAGACTGCACCGTGGGCCCCAGACCCCGCCACCTGTGGTCCCTCGGCCACTGCCCTTTCTCATGATTCCATCTGGCGATGGCGCTGAGCTCTGAGGCCGGGGAGAGGCTGCCCATGCTAGCTGGCAGAAGGACCCCAGAGAGGAGCCGCATGTGCAGAGGCCCACGGCCATGGGGGTGCATGATCGCGTGGGGCCTCAAGGAAGAGGGGAGAAGGGGAGGTCACGCCTTGCAAGTCCCAGGAAGACTTGGACCTCCAGATGCTTGCACCAGGTCCTAGGTGCTGGCGTTGCAGGGCACCCCCACCATCCACCGCAGGCTCCCCAGGGCAGGCTCAGGCTTGTTTCTCTTCCTGGCTCTGAGGCCAGCAGGGGCCTGGCCAGAGGAAACCCTTGCCTCCACCCCAGGCCTCAAGAGGCCACATGAGTTGCTGCCTTCATGAGCCAATTAGAAGCGCTGAAAACTCTGTATAAATTGACAATGGAGACAAGTGTTCTTCTTTGATATAATCAACTTTTTTTTTTTTTTTTGAGATGGAATCTGGTTCACTCAGGCTGGAGTACAGTGGCGCGACCTCAGTTCACTGTGACCTCCGCCTCCTGGGGTCCGGTAGTTCTCCTGCCTCGGCCTTCTGCGTAGCTGGGATTACAGGCACACGCCACCACAGCTAGCATTTTTTGTATTTTTAGTAGACATGGGTTTCACCATGTTGGCCAGGCTGGTCTCAAGCTCCTGACCTCAAGTGATCTGCCTGCCTTGATCTCCCAAGGTGCTGGGATTACAGGTGTGAGCCAGCGCGCCCAGCCCACAATCAACTCTTTATCAGAATTGCCCAGTAGAACTTGACATCATCTGTATCTCCACCGTCTAAACAGCAGCCACCAGCCCCTGTGGAGTAGCCCTGAGTAGTCAGGACAGTTCACATGAGGCTCATGTAATTGAGTGACTGGATTTTTCATTTTAAGTTAAATCCCCACGTGCAGCTACTGGCTGCTGTGCTGGACAGCGCAGCCCCAGCCCTCCTGGGAAGCGCGTGTCTGGAGGCCCCTGGGTGCCAGGCACGTACCAGGCATCACCTTGTCCAGTCCTCTCTGCAGCCCTTGGAGACAGGAGCTCGTGGCCTCACTCTGCAGATAAACAAGGCAGATAGGCTCAGAGAGGGTGAGTGTCTTCTCTGAGGTCACACAGCTGGTAGGTAGAGCTGGACTGTCCAAGTTCAGAATCTGTCTCTGCCTTCCCTTTCCATGGACCACAGAGGTGGGAAACCAGGTGGGCTGGGGAATATGGAAAAGATTTGAGGAATAAATAAAGGTGGGGGTCAGCTGTAGTGAGGGAAAAGCCGGAGACCAGCACAGTTGGGTGATGCAGCGGAAAAGGGGGCATCCTAGAATGTTCTGGAATTCCAGTGGGCTGGGATCTGTGAGATACCCGGCAGCTCCTCTCCTGCAGGCCTGCGCACCGAGGGCCTGTTCCGCAGATCCGCCAGCGTGCAGACCATCCGCGAGGTCCAGCGGCTGTACAACCAAGGTGAGTGCGCCCCGCAGCCTGAGCCCCGAGCCACGGCCTGGCAGCGACCGCAGGGCTCCCGGGCCTCAGAGCAGAGGCAGCGTAGCGCCCCCGAAACCCATCCAACTCCCAGAAAACGCTCAGGGCGGGGGCAGCTGCCCAGGAGCCACCGAGGAGCCCACTGGTAGTCCGGAGTGGGGACCCTTTGTCCAGACCCCCAGCCCCTGCTGGGACAAGGTGGCCGCACGATGCCATTTTGCCTTTAGGTTTCTCCATCCGCACCAGGTGGGCACGTGCTTTCAGGAGACACCCTGCAGTGCAGGGAAGCTGGTATTTTGTCTGACAGCTCCCCCGAACTGGCTCAGCGTGGCTTCCTGAGCTGCCATGTGTAACCTGTGGGCAGGGGCAGTGGCCTCTGAGCTGAGGACGCGTTGCACTGATGCTAATGAAGCTGCTGTCTTGCTGGCGAGACTTGCCCTCTGTCCTGCTCGCTCCCACAGTCGATTGTGCATTATGCAATCATGGAGCGTCAGGGCCACACAGGGCTGAGCTCAGGCCTGCAGTGCCATCTCTGCCAAGGCCCTGGCCACAAAGAGCTGGCATTGTAGCCGGGAGTAACAGCATGCCACAGAGAAGCCAGCAGCCCGCCCCAGCCTCCACGGGGAGCCCACGAGGAGGCAGTGAGGGCGGAATCAGGACTGATGGGGCCAGAGCCACCCCCCTTTCTAGGTGGGGACAGCATCCTCCCCAGGACACGTGGCTCCAGCATCAGGCGCTTCCCCTCTGGACCTGTCACACCACACGTCCGAGAGCTCATTCTGCAGCGGCAGTGCCGGGGCCGGGGTGCAGACCTCAGCGGTGCTGTGTTCCGTGTACAGGGAAGCCCGTGAACTTCGACGACTATGGGGACATTCACATCCCTGCCGTGATCCTGAAGACCTTCCTTCGAGAGCTGCCCCAGCCCCTGCTGACCTTCCAGGCCTACGAGCAGATTCTTGGGATCACCTGTGAGTAGCTGCCTCGGGGCGGGGGTGGCGAGCCTGGTCTTCAAATGCTGTTCCCCAGCTACTGGCCCAGGGTCAGGCTCTGGGGTGGCTGAGGTGGCGTGCACCCACTCTCATCTTGTTGCCACCTGGCACTGCAGGGCAACAGAGGGAGTCCTTGCGGCTGCTGCAGCAGGCACAGCCAGGCCCCACTATCTAAGGGCAGAGGAGGTGGGCTCGGTTGGCGTTGGCCTGGCTAGTCTCAGGTGCAGCTGGACCGGGAGGCAGAGTAATGGAGGGTCTCTCTAGATTTGGGGACATCATCCCGGTCAAAGTCCTGCCTGTACCCGCTCCCAGCCCCTCAGCGCTCTCATCTAGAAAGGGACTCTCAGTGTTTCTCCCAAATCACTGTAGGATGCCAAGTATGTGTGATACAAACTAAGCAGTTCTAGGGTGTGATCCTGCAGGTGCTTTGTGATTGGTCAGATGATCCTGCAGGTGCTTTGTGATTGGGCAGATGATCCTGCAGGCGCTTTGGGCAGATGATCCTGCAGGCGCCTTGTGATTGGGCAGATGATCCTGCAGGCGCTTTGTGATTGGGCAGATGATCCTGCAGGCGCTTTGTGATTGGGCAGATGATCCTGCAGGCGCTTTGTGATTGGGCAGATGATCCTGCAGGCGCTTTGTGATTGGGCAGATGATCCTGCAGGCGCTTTGTGATTGGGCAGATGTTCCTGCAGGAGCTTTGTGATTGGGCAGATGATCCTGCAGGCGCTTTGTGATTGGGCAGATGATCCTGCAGGCGCTTTGTGATTGGGCAGATGATCCTGCAGGCGCTTTGTGATTGGGCAGATGCTCAGGTTGGCTAAGCACAGGTGACTGAAAAACAACTCCGTAACAGCATCTCAAAATACTGGCGAGTGCTAGGAAAGCTGATGCCTCAGAAGAACTATAAAACCACTCAGGTCTTCATTTAAGGAATCACGCACGGTCTTTTTTTTTTTTTGGAGACAGAGTTTCGCTCTTGTTACCCAGGCTGGAGTGCAATGGCGCGATCTCGGCTCACCGCAACCTCCACCTCCTGGGTTCAGGCAATTCTCCTGCCTCAGCCTCCCAAGTAGCTGGGATTACAGGCACGTGCCACCATGCCCAGCTAATTTTTTGTATTTTTAGTAGACACGGGGTTTCACCATGTTGACCAGGATGGTCTCAATCTCTTGACCTCATGATCCACCCGCCTCGGCCTCCCAAAGTGCTGGGATTACAGGTTTGAGCCACCGCACCCGGCCCCACGCACGGTCTTTTCAAATGGGATGCTGCTCCCAGTCCCCTGGGGAGAAGGACCCAACTCTGGCTTGCACCACTGTCTCCTGTCATGAAGATAACACACCTTTGTTCTCTTCCAGATAAGCACCAATGAACAAACCAGAGAGTGTAGTCATGTTCAGCATCCTCGGTAGGGAAGGAAGACATCCTTTCCTGCTACCCCTCTTGGGTCCCTTGGCGGGAACCCTCTAACTTGTTATTCTGACAAAAGACAGATTCACAGGAGAAAAGCATGCCAGTTTGTTTAATATAAGTTTTACTGGCACAAAAGTAGTCATGAGTTGGAAAAAAAAGACCCAGGCTGGGCACGGTGGCTCATGGCTCTAATCCCAGCAGTTTGGGAGGCCAAGACAGAAAGATCACTTGAGCCCAAGAGTTTTAGACCACCTTGGGCAACACAGTGAGACCCCCATCTCTACAAAAGATTTTTAAAATTGACTGGGCTTGGTGGCATGTGCCTGTATTCCCAGCTACTCAGGAGACTGAGGTGGGAGATGGCTTGAGCCTGGGAGTTTGAGGCTACAGTGAGCCATGCTCATGCCACTGTACTTCAGCCTGGACAAAAGAGCAAGACCCCGTCTCCAAAAGGGAGGGAGGGAGGGAAAGCAAAGACCAGAAGGAAGGAAGGAAGGGAGGAGCAGGGGAGGGAGAGGGAGGGAGGAAATGAAATGAAGACAGGAGGCCGGGCGCGGTGGCTCAAGCCTGTAATCCCAGCACTTTGGGAGGCCGAGGCGGGTGGATCACGAGGTCAAGAGATCGAGACCATCCTGGTCAACATGGTGAAACCCCGTCTCTACTAAGAATACAAAAAATTAGCTGGGCATGGTGGCGCTTGCCTGTAATCCCAGCTACTCAGGAGGCTGAGGCAGGAGAATTGCCTGAACCCAGGAGGCGGAGGTTGCGGTGAGCCGAGATCGCGCCATTGCACTCCAGCCTGGGTAACAAGAGCGAAAAAAAAAGAAATGAAAAAAAAAAAAAAGAAATGAAGACAGGAAGGGAAGGAGGAGAGAGAGAAAGAAAAGACCTGAAGACATCCTAAGGCCTAAATGTTTTGATAGCAGCTTGGATGAAGAGTGGAAAATTAGGGAAATGTGATGGGCAAAAGGGGTTCAATTCCTTTTGGCACCCCTCCATCTTTAGAGATAAGGGTGTTCCTTCCCTCTGGGCATAGGGCGGACCCCTCCCATGAGAGAATTTTAGGATCTGTCACAGACCAGTCTGGGGAGGTAGAGAGCCCTTCCTGCACCTGCCGTTTCCTAGATGCCTTCAGCTTAATCACAGAGTTTACATGCCCAGGGGCCATCTTTTCGAGAGTAACGTTCTGAACCCCAGCATTCCCCCATCTGAAACTTTCCCCGAGACGTCTTAACAGTCCAGTAACTCCGTTGGTCATTGTCTCATGTTGCACCGAATCCTCCTCTCATTGCCGTCACTGGGTCACTCCGGGTAAACGGTTGTGTCTCATTTCGGGAGGCAGCGGTGGACGTGGGAGTAGGGGGACTACCTAAGTCGGCCCTTTAATAAGGGGCATTTCTGTGTCAACAAACACAAAGTTGAATGCTTTGAACAAACCATAGCCTCCGATTTTTGCAGTTGAGAGAACGTTTAGTTGGGACAATTCCTAGATGTTGGCTTGAAGAATGGGAGTGGCAGCAGCCCCCCAGTAGATTTCGTAGTTTGCAATGTAGATGGCTTTGGTGATGACACTTGGTGTTCCGGTGACCTTCGAGTGGCCTGTGCAGCAGGAGACATGAGGACTATCTGTACGTCATCTGCTCTGATGATCTCTTCGAAGTGGATCTCAAGTCTTCCAGCATCAGCTTTTGGGGCTTTGGGGAGATGGCAGGTTTTAGTTCTTTGTCATGCCAAGCCAGGGGATGGGAGTGTTGTAGCCAGGCATTGGAGGAAACGGGAGGAACTGAGGGCTCACGGGCCTGTGCGCTGTTTACCGCTGGAGCGTGACTGCTCCCCGCGGTTGCTTCCCTCTTCATTCTCAGTTACAAATACGTCTGGTCTCACCAGATTTGGCCTGATTATTTCAGTGCGGCAAGAATGGGAATTGACCGACGTAGGCTCTTTTTTTTTTTTGGAGACGGAGTCTCGCTCTGTCGCCAGGCTAGAGTGCAGTGGCACAGTCTCGGCTCACTGCAACCTCCACCTCCTGGGTTCAAGCGATTCTTCCTCCTCAGTCTCCCGAGTAGCTGGGACCACAGGCACGTGCCAAACGCCCGGCTAAATTTGTATTTTTAGTAGAGACGGGGTTTCACCATGTTGGCCAGGATGGTCTCAATCTCTTGACCTCATGATCCACCCGCCTCAGCCTCCCGAAGTGCTGGGATTACAGGCGTGAGCCACCGCGCCCGGCTATGTAGGCTCTTTATAAGTGTGCTTTGCTAGACTTTTAATAAGGAATCTCAGATTCACTTTTTAAAAACCTCTTGAGGCTAGAAAGCCAAGCCAAAAATTGGCCATCAGGGCCCGGCGCAGTGGCTCATGCCTGTAATCCCACCACTCTGGGAGGCCAGGGTGGCTGGATCACCTGAGGTCACAAGTTCAAGAGCAGCCTGGCCAACATGGTGAAACCCCATCCCTAAAAAAATACAAAACTTATGATAAGTGCCTGCAGTCCCAGCTACTTGGAAGGCTGAGGTGGGAGAATCCTTGAACCCAGGAGGTGGAGGTTACAGTGAGCCAAGATCTCACCATTGTACTCCAGCCTGGGCAACAGCAAGACTCCGTCTCAAAAAAACACAAAAACTGCCACTGGATTTTGCCTGTAGAATCTGTACATTTGCGTGAATTCTTCTCAAAGTTCTCAATCTATTTGAAGTTTCCTGGGCCTGCCAGGAAGTGACCTTTCTTATTCACTGTAATGCCTTACATAGCACTGAATAAGGCTAGTCATCATCTCAAGTAATTTCCCTTTTTTTTTTTTTTTTGAGACAGAGTCTTGCTTTGTCACCCAGGCTGGAGTGCAGTGGCCCAATCTTGGCTCATTACAGCCTCTACCTCCCAGGCTCAAGCGATCCATCTGCCTCAGCCTCCTGAGTAGCTGGGATCACCGGTGTGTGCTACCACACCCAACTAATTGTATTTTTAGTAGAGACAGGGTTTCACCATTTTGCCCAGGCTGGTCTCAAACCCCTGACCTCAAATGACCCACCCACCTCAGCCTCCCAAAGTGCTGGGTTTATAGCCATGAGCCACCCGGCCCAGCCCCTGTTACCTATTTTTAACCCTACTTGACTAGTCAACCCAACTACATAAAGATGTATGCCTGGATTATGCTTAATATGGATAACTCAGAGCATGCAGCTCTTTTGGTTTGGGTTTCGTTTTGAGATGAAGCGTCACTCTGTCACCGAGGCTGGAGCACAGTGGTGCCATCTTGGCTCACTGCAACCTCCACCTCCTAGGTTCAAGTGATTGTCCCACCTCAAGCAATTTTCCTGCCTCAGCCTCCTGAGTAGCTGGGATTACAGGCACTGGCCGTCACCCTCAGCTGATTTTTGTATTTTTGTAGAGATGGGGTTTCACCATATGGGCCAGGCTGGTCTTGAACTCAGGTGATCTGCCTGCCTCAGCCTCCCAAAGTGTTGGGATTACAGGTGTGAGTTACTGAAGTCACATGAACTTGAAAAGAATATTTGGTTTAGTTTCTCTATTTCTGAGAGCTTTCGAAATATTTAATTTATATAAATGCTCATGTTATCTTGAAGCCAATTTGAATAGAACTCCTTTAAGGGATTTTATAAATTAACTTGGTAATACCATCAGAGGGAGAAGAATTTCATGTATACGTAACATACATGCATAAAGATCTGCAAACAAAAACATTTTAAGACGGGGTCTCCTTCTGTCACGCAGGCTGGAGTGCAGTGACATGCTGTTGGCTCACGGCAGCCTTGACCTCTGGGATCAAGCAGGCATGCCCCCTCAGCCTCCCAAGTAGCTGAGGTATGCACTGCCACACCCAGCTAATTTTTAAGGATTTTTGTGTAAAGACAGGAGAGGGGGGTCTCACCACGTTGTCCAGGCTGGTCTCAAACTCCTCGGCTCAAGTGATCTGCCCACCTCGGCCTCCCAAAGTGCTGGGGTGACAGACATGAAGCAACACAGCCAGTTGTAAACCCAGATCTTATAACTTTCATACGTAGTTTCATACAAGTTAAGATGACCTGTTAAGGGTGAAAGCTTTTCATCACTATTTCCATGGAAGACCCTAAAGGTTTTTTTAATTCGTCCAGTTGGTTTCCAAATAGTCCTTTTAACCTGGTTTTTTTGTTTGCTTGTTTTTAACCAAAGGTGTATCTAATGCATGTCACTCAAAACCAGTAAGCCTTTTGTGGCCATGGAGGCAAGAGATGTTTTCAGAGTCCCCCACTATCCAGAGTTACCCACAGATAGCCACAGACAGAGCTGGTGGTGGTTGGTGGGATGTGAGTTGTCAATACCTGCGGCTGGGTAATTTATAAAGAAAAGAAGTTTAATTGGCTCCTGGTTCTCTGGGCTTTATAGGAAGCAGGCTGTTGGCATCTGCTTGGCTTCATGGGAGGCCTCAGGAAACTTACACATGGCAGAGGGTGAAGGAGGAGCAGGCATCTCATGCAGTGTGAGAAGGAGCAAGATGGGATGAGGTCATGCCACACACGTAAGCAACCAGATCTTTTTTTTTTTTTTGAGACAAGAGTGTCGTCTAGGCTGGAGTGCAGTGGCACAATCTCAGCTCACGGCAATCTCCGCCTCCTGGGTTCAAGCGATTCTCCTGCCTCAGCTTCACACCCAGCTGAGTTTTGTAGTTTTAGTAGAGATGGAGTTTCACCATATTGACCAGGCTGGTCTTGAAATCCTGACCTTGTGATCTGCCTGCCCAGACCTCCCAAAGTGCTGGGATGACAGGCTTGAGCCACTCTGCCAAGCCATAACAACCAGGTCTCTTGAGAAATCATTCACTGTCATGAGAACAGGACCAAAAAGAGGGTGGGTGTGGTTCTAAGAGTAAGTGGGGGTGGGTCTCAGTGTGGGCCAGTTGCAGCAGGTCCCTGGAGGGCGGGACACTGCCCTCCCCAACAGCAACAAAGCAGGAGGGATTTGTGGTGTGGAGAATCAGGAGCAGGCAGTTCATCTAGAGCAGGGTTGCAAACGTTTTCTGTAGCGGGCCACGTAGAAAATATGTAGTAAATATTTCAGACTTCACAGTCTCTGTTGCAGCTACTTAGCTCTGCCCGAAGGCAAAAGCAGCCATAGGCAATGTATGTAATGCCGTAGCTGTGTTCTAAGAAAGCTTTACTGGGCCGGGCGCAATGGCTCACGCCTGTAATCCCACCACTTTGGGAGGCCGAGGCGGGTGGATCACAAGGTCAAGAGATCGAGACCATCCTGGTCAACATGGTGAAACGCTGTCTCAACTAAAAATACAAAAATTAGCTGGGCATGGTGGCGCGTGCCTGTAATCCCAGCTACTCAGGAGGCTGAGGCAGGAGAATTGCCTGAACCCAGGAGGCGGAGGTTGCGGTGAGCCGAGATCGCGCCATTGCACTCCAGCCTGGGTAACGAGCGAAACTCCTTCTCAAAAAAAAAAAAAGAGCTTTACTGACAAAAACAGGCAATGGGCCAGATCTGGTCTAGACTGTTCCTGTTTATAAAGTGATTGAGCTTTAGCAGCTTCCTGGAACGTGATGTTGCTGGGTGAGAAAGCAGAGGAACAGAGCTTGCAGAATGGAAGGGCCGTGGCCTGGTGGGAAGTCCCCACGGTGGCTCACATTGAGCTGTAACCCTCAGTGCTGGAGGTGGGGAGGTGATCGGATCCTGGGGGTGGATCCCTCATGGGTGGGTGCCAGCCTCACGAGTGAGCACTCACCGGACCTGGTTTAAAGGCGTGCGGCACCTCTGGCCCGCACTGTCTCTTGCTCCTGTTTTTGCCATGTGACACGCCGCCTTCCCTTTTACCTTCTGCCATGATTGGAAGCCTCCCGGGGCCGGCGCCATGTTTTACAGCCTGCAGAACCATGAGCCCGTTAACCCTCTCTTCTTGTGAATGGCCCCATCTCAGGCATTTCTTCATAGAAGTGCAAGAACAGCCAAGCACACACAGGGTTTGCCGAGCACAGCCACACAGCCAGGGAGTCAGCGGGGGGCCCTCCTCCCGGGCCAGGACGCAGGGCCACCCCGGCCACTCGGGAGCTCAGCAGGGAGGCCCGTGCCGTTCCAGGTGTGGAGAGCAGCCTGCGCGTCGCCCGCTGCCGTCAGATCCTGGGGAGCCTGCCCGAGCACAACTACGTCGTACTCCGCTACCTCATGGGCTTCCTGCACGCGGTGAGTGGGCATGGGGGGCACAGGGGGGAGGCCCAGTGGCCTCTCTCGCCGTGCCGTGCCTGCATGGACCCTGGGTCTGGGGTCACGCCCTGCTCGGCCCTCGGAATACCACTCCCTGGCCAGCAAGGACCTCACGCGGGCCCACCGTGGGCCCGCCGTCCTTGGGCCACTGCTAATGACCTTCGTGAGTGGGGTCCCTTGCCCCCCACGTCATCCGTTTCGGCCGAGTCTCAGAGGTGGGAAACTGTCCACCACAGGCACAGAGCCTGATGCGTGACCGGCCCTCACTGTGGACTGAGCTGACCCTTCCTGCGGAGGGGACACACCCAGTAGGTGCTTGTGACCGCACGGCGGGTGGTGTGAAACCATGGAAATTGACCCGTGTCACGCTTCTGCGAGGCCAGACACCCAGAATGCAGGTGTGCTGGGCTGTGCTTCCTCCAGACACTCTAGGGGCAGGGTCCTGGGCACTCCAGCCTCTGCCTGCCCTTCCCTCATAAGCTCGGGCCCCTGCCACCACTCGTTGGATTTAGGACCCATCCAGAAGATCCAGGATGATCTCATCTTGAGATCCTTCACTTAATGACCGCTGCAACAACCCTCCTTCCAAATGAGGGCACAGTCACAGATTTTTGGTGGCCTGTCTTGGGGGGGCCACCATTCCGTCTTCTGCACCATGCTAAGCAAATGAACAGAGAAAACCTTCGCCGCTCTGGGCCTGCCCTGACTGCTCTCTCCTCCCGGGGCAGGGATGCATGTGGACCAAAACCCTGTGCGGTCAACAGAGGAAGGCTCCACACATCCAAACGGGTCCAGCCCCAGCCCCACAGCCCTGTATGTCTAATCTCCATCTCCCCAAGCCTTCGCCCCAGGCTGTGCGGGGTGCTGGCAGTGCCCCCTGTGGGGGAGGGGAGTGCCTGGGCAGAACAGGTATCACGTGCCAGAGTCCGTCAGAGCGTGCCACCTCTGGGTTTTACAAGTTTTTTTCTCCCTATCACTTCATATAATTGTCAGAGGCCCCAAACTAAAATTTGTTCTCCTAATCCTCTCAAAATGTTTCTACTTTTTTTTGAAACAGTCTTGCTCTCTTGCCCAAGCTGGAGTGCAGTGGCTCAATCTCAGCTCACTGCAACCTGCACCTCAGCCTCCTGAGAAGCTGGGATTACAGGCGAGCGCCACCACACCCAGCTAGTTAATTTTTTTTTTTTTTTTTTTGAGACGGAGTTTCGCTCTTGTTACCCAGGCTGGAGTGCAACGGCGCGATCCCGGCTCACCTGCAACCTCCGCCTCCCTGGGTTCAGGCAATTCTCCTGCCTCAGCCTCCTGAGTAGCTGGGATTACAGGCACGTGCCACCATGCCCAGCTAATTTTTGTATTTTTAGTAGAGACGGGGTTTCACCATGTTGACCAGGGTGGTCTCGATCTCTTGACCTCGTGATCCACCCGCCTCGGCCTCCCAAAGTGCTGGGATGACAGGCTTGAGCCACCGCGCCCGGCCTAGTTAATTTTTCTAGTTTTTAGTGGAGACAGATTTTGGCCATGTTGGCCGGGCTGGTGTCAAACTCCTGACCTCAGGCTGATCCACCGGCCTACCGAAGTGCTGGGATGACAGGTGTGCGCCACCATGTCCGCCCTACTTCTTTTTCAGTGGGAGAGACTGATTTATCTCTATAGCCACCTCCTCCGTGAGCAGTGACGGGACGTGGCGTTACCCCTCCAGTGGCACCTGGGGGCTTCGGCTTAGGGAGGGGTGGCCTCCTGTTGGCCTGGCTGGTGGACAGCTGGAAGGGACTGTCAGGCAGGGGAAGCCTCGACCGCCCCTGGCCGTCTCCCAGAAGCAGGGCTTGGGCATGTCTGGGCATCCTCACCAGATCTGTGAGGTGCCACCTGGCTACGCCCCCCTCCAGTTCTCTGCTCCCAGCCTCACGATCCCCGTTTCTAACTCTGAGGTTCCCCCCAGCTTGGATCTTGTACAGAGACAAGTAGAAGAGAACAGGCCCTGCCCTCATCAGGGCCGCACAGGCCTGTCACGTGACCTTGGGCAAGTCTCCTGTACCCTCCGGGCCCCAGATGCCTCATCTGTTAGATGGGGAGGAGTGACCCCCACCTCCCGGGGTTGCGGTAAGCGGTGGCCGAGAAGGACCGTGAGCCCTTCTGGGACGCAAGCTCTTTACACTCTCGGCCCCCCTCGCAGTGAGCCTTACATGCTGGCTGGTCCCCATCATGCCCAGTTCGCCACCCACGGCACAGAGGCCAGAGAGGTCACCTAGTTCGCCCGTCCTCAAGAGCGTATCTCCCCAGACGCTGCAGTGGAACAGGAGAGGGTGGGGTGTTGAGACTGTCACAGAAGGTCAGAGCCTGAGAGTCCTCCAGGACAAACCCTTCCTGTCAGATAGGAAAACTGAGGCCCGGGGTGGGGAGGTGGACGCACGGAGCCCCTGTACTGCCTGCTGGGGGTGGCCCTTCCACAGCTGAGGAGGGGTGGCCCATGGTGTTGACTCCCCTTTCCTCATGTATGATTTCCTCCAGGTATCTCGGGAAAGCATTTTCAACAAAATGAACAGCTCTAACCTGGCCTGTGTCTTCGGGCTGAATTTGATCTGGCCGTCCCAGGGGGCCTCCTCCCTGAGTGCCCTCGTGCCCCTGAACCTGTTCACTGAACTGCTGATTGAGTACTATGAAAACATCTTCAGTGCGCCAGAGGCACCCAGGGGCCATGGCCTGGCACCGCAGGAGCAGGGGGGCAGGGCCGCCCCTTTGCAGGAGGCTGTGCTGCAGATACAAGCCACGGCCCTCACCAAGCCTTCCCTACCTCCAAGTCCCCCGACAGCAGCCAGAAGACGCTTCTAGTGTTGCAAGCACTGTAGTGCCAGCTACCTCCCACGCCTGTCTCTGCACTGTGTGTTTTATAAACTTGCCATCTGAGGCATTACATGAACTCAGAACCTTTGAATTAAAATTCCGTGCTTCCGGCCCCTGGACTCTTCTCTGTGGTACCTGAGCTACGGACCGATAAAATAATGCATTTGCTAGGATTAATGTTTCTAAGCATCACCCAATGTGGTTCCGCTGAAAACGAGAATGTGGTGGCTAAGGGCACCGGACGTGGCAGCTCCCGCCTGTAATCCCAGCACTTTGGGAGGCTGAGGTGGGCAGATCACCTGAGGTCAGGAGTTCAAGAACAGCCTGGCCAACATGGAGAAACACCATCTCTATGAAAAATACAAAACTGCTGGGTGCGGTGGCTCACGCCTGTAATCCCAGCACTTTGCGAGGCCGAGGCGGGTGGATCATGAGGTTTAGAGATCGAGACCATCCTGGTCAACATGGTGAAACCCCATCTCTACTAAAAATACAAAAAATTACCTGGGCATGGTGGCGCGTGCCTGTGATCCCAGCTACTCAGGAGGCTGAGGCAGGAGAATTGCCTGAACCCAGGAGGCGGAGGTCACAGTGAGCCGAGATCGCGCCATTGCACTCCAGCCTGGGTAACAAGAGCGAAACTCGGTCTCAAAAAAAAAAAAAATACAATTAACTGGGTGTGGTGGCGCATGCCTGTAATCCCAGCTGCTCAGGAGGCTGAGGCAGGAGAATCTCTTGAATCCAGGAGGTGGAGGTTGCAGTGGGCCTAGATCATACCTTTGCACTCCAGCCTGGGTAACGAGCGAAACTCCATCTCAAAAAAACAGCTTGCCCAGCTGCTGCCACCCAGCTGTGTAAGCGCCACCACTGAAAGCAGTGGCTGTTCATTACTGCCCACGAGTCAGTGGGTCAGCTGGGCGGTTCTTTTGCTCCTTTGGGGGGATGGCTTACACATCCTGACATACCCAGGTGTCGGCGGGGTGACTTCTACAGGTATCCTGGCAGTTCAGCAGGGCACATTCTCACAGCACAGGGCCAGATGCACACATACGCGCCAGTGCAGTTTTCGTGGTTGCATTGGGTCCTGTTCGCTCACATCCCATTGGCCAAAGCCAGCCTGGTGGCTGTGGCCAGGGTCACAGGGGGAGGGTACTGCAGAGGCGGCGGATACCGGGAAGGTAAAGAGCTGGACCTAAAGCCGAGCGGCCCGACGGCTCCGGGGTGTCGGGCAGGCTGGGCAGGCTGGGCAGGCTGGGCCCTGTGCGTCCATCAAACGTGCCGGAGAAGGATGCCATGTCTTAGTTCCACTTTCCCAGCAGAAAAGCCCAGATCCACCGAGACGGAACAAGCTTAAGTCAATGCTCACCCTGGACCGGGGCTGCAGTGAGGGAAGGCTCCAGTCGGCTTAGGCCTGAGCCCTCTGCCCCACCCTGGGGCTGGGATAAAGCCCCACCCAGACCCGGCAGAGGGGAGGAGTGACCGGCGGCTCCAGGGGTTACCCACCAGTCCCAGGCTGCCAGCTCTTGTTGTAGGGAGAAGTGGGGGAGGTTCTGGGGAGCAAAGAACAACAGTCCCCTCTGCAGACCCCCATGGCGGCCCCTCCGTGCCAGTACGGGGTGTTGACTAAAGCTGCACTGGGACCCCAGGTGCCCGTTCAGATGCTTGGGGGTCACTGGCCACCCTAGGCCAAGCCTTGGACGCCCCGGGCTCTGCGCTGGAAACTGACGGGTGCAGGCTCCTCCCTGGGCCCCTCGGTCTCCACTTGTATCTCCCCAGTATTCTCCGGCCCTCGTCTGCCACTGTGTTTTCTGCCTTGCTAGGGCTAGCTGTCTTTAAGGGAGGGGCCGTGCGCAGTGGCTCATGCCTGTAATCCCAGCACTTTGGGGGCCAAGGTAGGCAGATCACAAGGTTAAGAGCTTGAGGTCATCCTGGCCAACATGGTGAAAACCCGTCTCCACTAAAAGTTCAAAAGATGAGCAGGGCGTGGTGGTGGCAGACACCTGTACTCTCAGCTACTCGGGAAACAGACAGGAGGACTTCAAAGAAAAAAAAAAAAAGCAGGGGGCTTTATGTGTTGGCACGTGTCTGGGGTCTGCGTCCCTTCTCCCCGATTCCTCCCTGGGGGTGGGCTGTCTGCAAGCACAGTGGCCCGCCAGCCCTTTGAGAAGGGAGCGCACACTGTGTTTACTGGACTTGCCTGCAGGCTCACCGAGGGGTTCTTCCCTTACAAGTCAAGTGTCCCCATGAGGTTAAATACAAGCTAAACACACCACCACCACCTGAGCCCACGTGTCCAATGCCTGAGATTTTTTTTTTTTTTTTTTTTTTTGAGACGGAGTTTTGCTCTTGTTACCCAGGCTGGAGTGCCATGGCGAGATCTCGGCTCACCGCAACCTCCGCCTCCTGGGTTCAAGCAATTCTCCTGCCTCAGCCTCCTGAGTAGCTGGGATTACAGGCACGCGCCACCATGCCCAGCCAATTGTTTTTGTATTTTTAGTAGAGACGGGGTTTCACCATGTTGACCAGGATGGTCTCGATCTCTCGACCTCGTGATCCACCCGCCTCGGCCTCCCAAAGTGCTGGGATTACAGGCTTGAGCCACCGTACCCGGCCAACGCCTGAGATGTTTATCAGGAGAAGCTTATTATCACCAGCTTCAGGTGATTGTTAGGAGACCGCTCCCCCTCCGCAGCCAATTACTATTTTAGAGAAACAGTGTAACCACCTCACCTGATGGTCACCAGGAATCTCCTAGTGGGGGTGGGGGAGCCCTCCCTGCCCTGCTCAGGTCTGACTAGCTACTGTAACAAATTGACAAATAGTAGCTGCTGTAACCTTCTGTAGCACATGGACACAGTGGTCTCTCAGGAGTCCCACGGATGGAAATCCAAGTCCCCCTAAAGCTGCCTGGAGGCCTGCCTCTGACCTGTGCATGAGGGCCTCTGCTCCCTGCTCACTGTCATTCAGACGGACTCACGGCCCGGTCACTGGCCCTGCAGACAGCTGGCTCCCGAGGACTGGCCCAGCCAACCAGGCTCGGCTTCCTCTCTGGGAGTGCCAGTCAGAATATTCTCTCCTCTTCCCATGGGAGTGGGGAAGGGGAGGCCAGGAGTATGAATCCCACCCGATGAGATTCTCCCACGAGGACGCTGGAGTGGGTGTGTGTGCCCTGTGAAATTCTCATCTCCAGTGTGCAAATGAGAATCCGCAGGCCCCCCACAGAGAAGAGCACACACCTAAAGTCACACAGCTAGCGAGTGGCAGAGCTGGGACTTGAACCAGGGCAACCCCATCCTCTTGCATGGAGCTGTGGGAGCCAAAGGGAGGCACCTGGGCCTTGGGCTTCCCTTCCATACAGTGGGTTTTGTTTTTTGAGAGAGTCTCGCTCTGTCCCCCAGGGTGGAGAGCAGTGGCACAATCTGGTCTCACTGCCACCTCCTCCTCCTGGGTTCAAGGGATTCTCCTGCCTCAGCCTCCCAAGTAGCTGGGATTATAGGCACACACCACCACGCCCGGCTCATTTTTTCAATTTTAGTACAGATAGGATTTCACCATGTAGCCCAGGCTCAAACTGCTGAGCTCAGGCAATGAGCAGCACTCCACTCCTACAGTCTCAACCTCCCGAGCTCAGGCAATCCACTCACCTCGGCCTCCCAGAGTGCTAGGATTACAGGCATGAGCCACCGCACCTGGCCCTACGTGGGTCTTTTACACTGCCAGTCAGAGACCGTGAGTCCTGAGCTAGGATCAGCCCCACCTGCAGTGACTCTGAGCAAGTCTCATCACCGTGCGCCCGTTTCCCGCCGGAACATGGGCCGATGGTGAGAGCTGAGAGCCCAGTGTGGACGTGGAAGTTGTATCTGCCGCCCTACAGCATCTTGGACCTTTCCTAGTTGTACTAGGACCACCTCGATCGTAAAGATGTCGAGTTGAGAGTAGACTTTGGTCCTCTCAGATGGCCATCCACACTCTTGGACCCTGTAAGGCCCACTGGGCACATTCTTACAGCTGCAAGCTGCCCGATGCAGAGGGAATTGATTGGCAAACGCCCCGGAGTGTGCAGCTGGCTGGGGCCCCTGGCAGCCTCTGCACTGAAGTCCTTTGAGAGGCTCCAGGCCCCTGCTCACCCCGCACCAGCCCTCACCCCGAGGGCTGCAGCTCCTGCCCTCACCACCCCGGGGGTCCAGGGAGCAGGGCTGCGGGACCCAGCCCTGAGCCTGAGTGCTGGGAGGAGCCAGCGGGGCCTGTGGGCCTCAGTGGGGCTTTCTGGACCCTTCTCTTCCCCTTTGCCCACCTGGCTCCTCCTTCCCCACGGGTCTCCTGCCCAGCGTCTGCCTCCACCTTCTCCTCCCTTCGCTCATGCTTCCACTCCCTCCCAGCAGTGGGTAGTATCTGTGCCGGGTTTCTTATTTCTAATTGCATTCTTCCTGCCTCACATCCCCAAGTCACTATGCCCTACTATATCAAACTTACAGCCCTAGGCACAACTATTTTAGGACTCCTCCTAGCAACAGAACTCAGCCTTATGACTAACAATGTAAAATTAAGCACCCCAGTACAAACTTACTACTTCTCTAACATACTAGGCCTCTACTCAGTCACTACTCATCGCCTAAAACCCCACTCAAGCTTAACAAGTCAAAATCTTGCCTCCACCTTACTAGACCTACTCTGACTAGAAAAATCTATGCCAAACACAGCACAAACTCAAGCCTCAATCTCTACAATTACCTCCACCCAAAAGGCCTAATCAAACCGTACTTCCCATCATTCCTTATCACACTCATCCTAGCGTTACTCCTAACCGTCTAGCCCCCACCCCGAGTTAACTCAATCGCAATATGCATACCTATAAACAACGCCCAACAAGTGACTAAAACAACTCAAACACCATAATTATATAAAGCACCAGCACCTGTAGGATCTTCACAAATTAATCCTGCCCCTTCTCCCTCATGAATCATTCAACTAGCCACAGTCTTATAATTAACAGTAATTTCCACCGTCTGTTTAGGGTCACCACCCAGTGCTATCAACATTATTGTTTCTATTGTCAGACCCAACACAAATATTCCTAAGATATTAATGCTTGATACCCATGACTCAGGATGCTCATCAATTGCCATCGCTGCAGTATAACCAAAAACAACCATTATACC